GATGAACGTAAAATGATTAAACATCTACTGTCATTTTTCCAACTGTTGCTCAGAAAGTCAGTAAAGGCTTTTCTAGTGAAGATGAAGCCTCCGCTTATATATTGTGGAAAAATTGAACATTCATGACAGGATAAAAGAGTAATACCTAATAATTTATTGAATCAATTCATAGTGGAAAAATGAAGTATAGCTTGGGAAAATGGCGCCAACAAGCCAACATGAAATTCAAGTTCAATCGAAAATATGCGCATAAACAGCGCCAAAATCGGAAAGTTTGATTTCCCGCGAAAGTCGGGTTACAGCGCCCGCATAAACCCGACGGAGGAAACTTGCATTACAAACTCGGGTTTCGTGAAACCCCGGTTTCGAGCCTCGCATAAACGTAGCTAATCTGTGATCCTGATTCATTCATGATCATGCGATTCCAAGGCGGATAAAGAATGGTGGTCGCATTTCGTACCCTCTGGACGTCACACGGTATCGGGTACATCGGGTACATGGGCTGGCCGAGGCCGGGGGGGCCGACTCAACCTCGGATTGCACGGCAAAACCCGTACCCTCCTGACGTCACAACGCTTCAAGATGGCAGCCAAAATCGAAATGCGACCACCCACCATTTTCTTTATCCGCCAGCCGCCTTGCCTTGATGCGATTCGGCCATGTTGCTTGAGTTACTTGAGTTTGATTTTGATTTGGTTTGATTAATTACAACCAGAACAGATAATTTTGCTTTATCTGCCAGCCTGCCCTGCAATTTCTTTCTTGCTAACTGGTCCCGTTTCGAGTCGACGAAGACTCAGGATTTTTCCGTTTTCAAGTTTGTGCATTTCTAATACGAACTCAGCCGCAGGCATCAAATTTGTTTTCCTTCTTCACTTGCGCTCTGCTCTCGTTAATCATCCTCCACGAGCTCGTAGCTCCCATGAGCTTGGTAAGCAAAGTGATGACCAGCCTACAAAACATTTTCTCTTCCTATTCATGATTCCTTCTGTCTCGTGCATTGAGTGTAATATGTGTGAACCAAGTTAAAACCAAACGGCATTTTCTAACATATCTCATGGCCCACAGCTAGCCGCTCATGGGAGAATCGCTGGCTACGAGTGGTTTTTCGGGATTTAATCATTCAAATTGATAATTATTCTCGTTAATTTTGCCAAATTCTTTAGACTGAAGTCATAATAAAATAAGGTTACTCGATGGACGCCGTATTTTGAGTCAGATCAACATGCGATATATCGCATCGTTCGGTCCCATTTTTTCTGCATCGTTATTTTTCTCATATTTTGAGATCGCAATTCTGTTGCCAGGAGGCCAAAGAATTCACATATCAATTTTGACAACCAAATTCAACGTATGAAAGGCGTGGTTTTTTCAAAGTAAAATATCGCATCCAAGTGCATGTTTCGATATCAGTGTTGAAGGCGATATTTTTCCTCTTTAAAAACCACGTTCTTAACACGTTGAATTTGTCTCTGAAATTTGGTAAGTGAATTCTTTAGTCTCCGAGCAACACAATTCGAGAAAAATGACGAGTAGCTGAAAACATGGAACTAATCGATGCAACATATCGCATGGCGTTCTGACACATAATATGGCGTCCATCGAATCACCTTAAATATGTAGGAAACAACCGGGCCCCCGCCAATCCCTACGCAAACGGAAACGAAAGCCTGAAAAAATTGTGACCCTTAAAATTTTTTATAACCTGGCCTTTATTTCAGGGTCTTTCCACTCTTTATGCGTCTGCTTGGATGCATGATTGATCCTTTACTGCATCCTGAATTGAAATTAGTGATGAATGTCCCTGCAATTGCTCTCTGAGAGACTTTGTCTCCCCTTAGAATGCCTAAAATATTTAAATGGTTAATGCACTCTCATGCATAATTATATTAAGAGTCAATTTTCTATTTTGTTTCAGAGCTAGTAACTGGTGAATAAACTTCAGGACTCGAAGCACTTTGTATAATGAGCTATCGGTAAATAGCAATTATTTTCTCTTCCTACTTACATTTATTATTTAGGGATTAAGAGGCTCATGAAGCAGTATGCATCACAGTTTTATCCTTTCATGAACCCTAGTTTCCCTCGCAATTTTCAACAAATTTTAACAGATAAAAAAGGGGTATATGTAACCATATCTGTTAAAACAGCAGATATCGAACATCCTCCATTTTTAGGGATAGTGCCTTTTAAGAATCTGCTATCCTTTAAGAGTGTTGGTACCAAGTTTCAGACCTATGGCATAATGTTTCATTAAAATTTGAATAAGAAACTGTGTTTTATCTAAAAACAGCAGATGGCATAATTAGTTGAAATAATACATTTTGAGCTAAATAATTCGTTAAAGCTCATTCATCTTCTTAAGGATCATATATATGAGCACATCACAGTAGTAACACAAGTTAATAAGACCCATTGTATGGTGGTCTTTGGGAGATGGCGCCCTGTTCAATTTTTCCTCTATTTCAGAAGGCTGATAACGAGGTTTTCCCCCCCCCCCCCTTTTTGAAAGTTACCAAATATTTACAAGTGGGTAATATAAACCAGTGGGTTATTTGAATTCACGCATCAAGAATCATTTAATATCTTTGTTAGGAGTTAATTTCGGTAATTTTCGTTATGCGCATCGTGTTCTACGCAAAATTTAGGTTAAGAAAGATGTATCAGAATGCTGAAATTCGTACCCTATCTAATGGTCCATTCATCAAATTCTGATGTGTCATCTGGATCAGTTTCATTTGTGATGATGTAATAAACACATTCATGTTTTCAGGGGGAGAGGATCATACCGTGGCTCCAGCTCTCGAGGAGGATGGGGTGGTGAAAGCCGCGGAAGAAGTAATCGCAATGGAGGCCATTTCTTCAAAGAACCTTCATCAAGCTACAAACCATATCATGGTGTGTAGAAGTTTCTCGTAGACTTCAAGACATCTTTCTGAGAAGTATTTCAATAAGTCCTCATGAAATCAAAAACTTGGCAAATTGCAATTGCAGTTGGCATGACTCTAGATTAGATGAGATCTAAAGTCATAGTGATATTTTACGACTCTTTTGTCATCCTGAAAGTCAATAATCAAAGGGAACCAACTCTTTCTCTTCCCTTTATGCTTCAGTGGGTCAGATTCCGCATTCTATTTGAGCCATGAAAATTCTGATCGCACTTAGACTATTTCAGGGTATCAACAAATCCTCCATCTAAGAATTTCTGAAACTCAACTGTTAACCTACCCAAGCCATGTGTCTTAATTAAACAAATACTGCTCAAAGAATAGTTTTCACATTATCAGATAAAATTAGATACAACAGCTTTGGTTTTTAAATAGTGTATTTCCCCCCAAAAATTTGTCAACAGTACCTAGGGGATATCCTCAATTACCATAAATATAATTCATCTCTTGTATCAAATTTAAGTGAAACAGGAATAAAATGCTAAATTTTGATTTTTCCATATTTCTAGTCTTGCTTCATTTTTCAAAAAGCAACTAATATTTTTGCTTGGCATTTTCAGAAAAGTTTTTAAAAGAAAAAAAGAAAGAAGAAGATTAAGAAAAAGAAAACAACTGTACAGAGAACTGTAGTACATTAAAAAATTCTTAAATCCTACCACTACTATCATCGTTAGCTACTAAAACACCTGTACCCTCTTAAAATGTGGCAGAAATTTTACAGTGTGCAAACATATGTGTGTTATTCTAATTATTCCGTCCAGCACATACAGTGGTTTATTATCTCATGTGTAATTTATTGACTTTTCTTCGCCATGTTTGCAGGGGAACGAGAAAAATTTCCAAGTTATCGCGGAGACTCGCACTATTCCTCTAGGGGTAGACAGGTAATTCTGAAATTTGTATTAAAATTATAATTGTGGATGCCCTCTCTTGTTTTGCCCAGGGCTGATGTTTTTGCTGCCTATTCGCAAATAGCAATTTACATTTTAGAACAATTCATAGCCCTGAAAAACTGAATAACATTTTTACATCTGAATTTAAATACGCACCCATTTCCAAACAACTTGGTGTCAAAAAGTCCAAGTTCATTTTAAGTTGTTCACATTTTTATCTCTGGAAACTTTTGTGGAACATACTTCCAACGCCATCTTTCGGACATTTTACGCAATACCCTGTCTTTGGTGGCACTAAGCCTATCATGCTGCATGTTGTCCTCAACAGAAATGCCACGTTTAACTCAAGCATCAATTCTTTGGCATTTGGCCTGTAATTGATGATAAGTTGTCAGTCATTTTCTTGAGTTTTTGCAGTAAGTCAAGTTAAAGTTTTGATTATTTATGAAAAGTTGTGTGCCTATCTCATTGATCATATATCTAATTGGTTTCTATTTATATCCTGTCACAGCATGATTCGTACACTCCAAGGCATGAACGATCTCATAGAGGACCATCTCCAGATCGGAAACGGATGCGCACAGATTCGTACACATCTGTGGTATGATTGGTTACAATTTTTATGATACCCTGTTTTTCTACCCATCAGTTATTTAAGCTTGGACTTTCCCTCTTCCAATGAGAACTTTAATGTGATGTTTTCCTTTTGATGGATTCTGAACTAAAGTCCATCCAAGGGCTAGGAGATTCAACGAGTTTTTTTCAACTGTGCTCAGGAGGATTTCTCTTTGCTAAGTCTAAGAGCTACTTAATCTGACTTTTCTATACATACAATAAATTAAGTATATCTAGGCTTGATGCACGATTGTCTTCAAGTGTCTATTGACATTTTCTTGGAACGATGGAGGAAATTCTCATCCTATTCCACCACAGTGAATTTGCCATCAAAGGTACACCAAGTTGTTCAAGTGAGAAAAAAAAAACACTAAGAAGTGGCCCAAATACTGTATGTAGCAAGGTGGAGAAATGGTGCTGGGTCCATACCATTTTGCAAGGAAATCAAAGCCAAGAAGTTCCATAAATTATAATTAGAGTAAAAAATAAATTTTTTTAACTCTAATGAGTACCAGTACAAAACTGAGGGGGGGGGGAGTGTTCAGCTCAAGCAGTTTACATTGGAATATTAAGTTGGAGTCACGGCGAGAGATATACACCAGTTTGGGTCTTTTTAGGCCTCATCTGTAGATCACACTTGTCAGTGAACCCAACTTAACATGTCGCAAAATCCAAGATGGCATTAAAACGCCGTCATGGATATGACCTGAGGCATGACACAAAAGTGTGATCCTTGCGGTTTCTACCATCACTGCTGAACAACTCTCAGAACAAAACAATGGTGTGGACAAAATGAAAAACAACTTAATCAGCCAAAATATACTCAATAAAAGAACAATTTAATTGGGGGAAAAGGCTTTAAAAAAAGAACAAAGGATAAACAAAACCTGGAACGTTTTAAAATAGTTACAATTTCATTTTCAATCGGAAAATAAATAAAAAATAAAAACGAGCTGTCGCTATGCTGTTATCAGTCTCGGTCTCGCAATAACAGCGTAGCGATGGCTCGTTTTTATTTTTAATTTATTTTCCGGTTGAAAATGAAATTGTAACCATTTTGAAACGTTCCTCGTTTTGTTTATCCTTTGTTCTTTTTTTGCAGCCTTTTCCCCATATTAAGTTGGTCTATTATTAATGGTGTGGACTCAGCACCATTTCTCCCTTGACACTTTGACAACCCTTGGTTCATAAATTAAACAATTATTGGAGGAGATATGACAAAATGATCTAATCTGCTGAAATACATGCGTTTAAACTGGGAAAGCCGCCAGATGACGTCACTAGGCGGCGCATTTTCTCACTTTCAAATCCATTTTTATACTATTCCCCATAGTCAAAAAAATTATTAAAAATACTGCAAAGTCAGCTCTTTAGGCACTCTCGGATGAAGCAATAATAAATTTGCATGCAATCTCTCCATTGATCGAGGTGAGGGTAGGTAACAAGGATATAGGCAGGAAAAATTAATAACATCGACTGTCTCAGTGCTAGTGAGAGTATTAGGTACTCTAGTAACCACTGAGTTACCACGGCAAAGAGTGACACTGTGCTTCTCCTTCACACATGTTAATGAATAGAAGTCATGGGAAGATGTAGTGGAGGAAGAATATTGTACTAAAATTAGATACTTAAGAATTAAAGAAAAAAACAAACAAGATTCTCTAGATCACTCATCATGAAATCACCAACAGTGTACAAATGGGCATAAAAACTAGATTGGCCAATCTTGCTCCTTTGACTTTTTTTTATTCATGCTGACAGTCTCCTAGTGGGAGTTGACAGTATTTGACTTTTGAATTTCCTAATTTTTCCTAATGCCTCATGTTTGATTTCTGAACGGATAAATACAGTTGTAGCCAATTTAAGATGCCCATCTATCATCATAACAAGTTATTGCAGTTGAATTTTAGGCTTGCTTCTAGTTGTTTTTGAGTTTTATGAATTATTTATTTCATTTATTGCTCATGGATCTTCTTCAAGTGGTGCATTGGCTTGACTCAAAACATCATGGAGTAGTTTGATAGCTGTATACCAGTGACTTTAGAGGAAGATTATTAATTTATCAGATAAAAAACTTGCAGCCAAGTCATATGCTAATTGCTAAAATATATTCCAAGAAAAAGACCGAAACAAGGGTAAAATGGCTGGCTGAACTCGACTGTATTAAACGGTTCTATTTTTCAAACATGTTGAGAAGTACTTTTGCCTTCTGATACTGAAAACACAAATCTTCATTTAGCCTATTTGGTTGGAACTGGTCCTATACCCTTAAAAGACAAGTGTATAACCTCCATGCATACCAAGAGGGCCTATAAATTGCTGATAAATTAAGCTCATAAACACCCCTTTCAAACTACTTTCACGTGATTCTTGCTGAATACTCCAAAAAAATCCACCCACCCCAGAAAAATGAAATCCAACTGCTGATGTGATCAATCACAATGGAAAAATAGCAAGGAAGCTTGTGATAAATTTCGAACTTTGGACTTGTAGCAATGAGCTGAAAGTTTCAGTTTTACATTTTCCATGTTTTTTCAAGAACAGTGCTGTTAAAGAAAACGAGAAAATTAAGTGAATGATTATGGCTACACCTTGCCAAAATGATTTTTCCTCTTTTCTTTTAAACCCCAATAACAGGATTTCATTGTCCTTAATTATCATGGAGTCGCAACTCAAAAATGAATATCCAGATTTTTCTGAAGAATCCTGTAAAAGAAAATCATTTAAAGAAAAAAGTATTATTTCATTCAAATATGATCCTTTGCAACATTTATGAATCTAACTTGAACAGTACTGACATTCCGTTGATTAACCTTGCCAAGCCTAGTCAAAATACCCAAAGCAAGAGGGAGATATGCCCTCACAGCTAGTGAACTCTATTCCCACAGGTAGAGGCAAAAATTAATTCCATACGGAATCTTTTATGTGTAACCCTTAAAATTTTAAACGTTTATGTGTACATACTTCATTCCTGAAAGTTGTACTGGTTTTTAACCTATTTTGATATTAATAGTATCTGTGCAGATGCACCTTTTAGGTGTATTATTTGATCCCTGACAGATATAGACACTCACGAGTTGATCATTCATTTGCTTGTTTGAAAAAGATAGAACAAGATGAAATACAACACAAATCTCATGTGTTCTCAGTATCGACAAAGCAATGAAAATGGCCAAGGTCAAAAGACAAACCTTTTGACCAGGAACTGATGAAAAAATCAATTGATCAATTTTAGATTGACCTAGATCCAATGAGAAAGCTCTTCAAGAACATTCCGAGACTCAGAATGCTTGAAGTACCTATCTTGCAAACTTGAGGTAAGTTGAAAGTCTGCAGTGTGACTCTCAAACCTCATGTCACTCTGCCAAAACTGATCTTAATTGACTGAAACGAAAATAATCTGACACTGTTCCTCTTTAAAATCTTTCTGCGAGTTCTTGGAGAAAGACAATTATTATTATTTTTGATTTCTGATGCACAGGGAAGTTCCCATAGCAGAGACTATGATAGTTATGGTGGAAGATATGGAGAATCCTCTTCCAACGACAGAATGGTATTCAGAGAAGAAAGGCGAAGTTTGCGTGGTGACCGTAGGTCATCAGAGTATCCAGTGCATCGAAAGTCTGGACCTCCGTCTCACACAGAGACCTCACCAAGATTCACATCGCCGCGGGGTGGAAGAGGCTCTAGAGGAAGTTATCGTGGACGTTCTTCCAGTTTCCGAGGCTCAGTGCGACCATCTTACACCAAGCCCATTAGCACCCCCAGGTCATCTTCCACTGTTATGAGAAGATATCGCCCTGAGTATTCGACTCGTGGAAGGTCAGCGTTGCTAAAAAAAAGAAAAGAATTGGAAATCATTCAGAAGTACAAAAGGTAATACGGTACTTGTAATGTTGTCTTGATTTGAAGCAGAATGCTTGTTACCATTAAAAAACGACCTATTGTTGTGTTCGCCTTCAATCTGGAATGGATTTTGATCAAAGACGAAAGCACGGTGATACAGTTTGTTATCTGCTGTGAATTGATGGAATCAGAGATTCAGAACATCGTTAAATGGTCCAGGTCCTGTCTTGGACCTGCAATCAACTGTCTGTGCTCCCTGTCATCTGCCATTTCTGCTTCGTTCCCACTCCTGAAATTGCCATTAACTTTAAATTTTGGATCCTAGAGGAACTTAACAAGTGCTGTTCTGAAGGCTGACAATGTTAATTGAAAAAACGCTTCTCTTGACGATTAAATCTCACGATCAAGATAAATTCCTGCAATTTTAAAAAGATAGACAGATCATATTGTATGCTATGCACACAAGACAGAACCTCTTTATTTGAACAAATTATCATACCCACTTGAAATATATCTGTCGCTCAGAAAATTTCTGTCAGTCGGGACTAGGTCAGCACAGCAGGTTGGTTAAAATCTCGTCAACTCTTTCACAGTATCACATCGGAAATCATGAAGGTACTTTTGCTTACACAATCAAATTGATGTTGCAACACAACAACACAGACTTAAGTCATTAATTAGAATCAAAAGAGAATAAAAGTTTTTACCTGTTCCATGCTCGCGCTATCTTAAACATCGCAGAATTGAGAATTTAATCGAGCTCTGCATAAAAAATTTGACCAATACAAATCATGGCAACGTGGCGTTTTCTTTGCTCCAACATACTTCTGAACGTGTTTGCTGACTGAACTAAGAACATGACAGAACTGTGCAATTGTTACGAAATCTACGGGCTCCCAGCTACACAAATACTCAGTCGCACCTCAAACTTGATAACTTGGCTCAAGAATCCTCGCTCCTAGTAAAATGCATCCTTCAACAAATTTCAGATTTACAGAGGCCTCAAGGACCTGTAATTTGATGCAACTCAAAAGTCAGGATGAAGAAACATCAAATTATTAGAAAAAAAAATGTCAAGGAAGTTAAAAACTGTAAAAGAACCTCGTAGAACTGACCACTAATGTCACTGATTTTTAAACAAATTTTAAGCTCCAAGCATTAAATTAATCAATATAACCATTTATTTAGCAAAAAAATTATTTCTTGAATAGCAAGCATCAAAGAGATCTTGTAGAACCCTTTTGAAAGCTGTATCAAAGCTGAATCAGATGTAATTCCTGATAGTATTCAAGCATTTATCCACTCAAAAAAGCACGTTTAATCTTCCTCTGCGATGTCTTGTCACATTTTTAACATGCTCCATGCTGCAACAAGTAAATGATCCATGAAGAAAGATGCAACCTCTATGTTCTTTCTGTTCTATTTTGTTGCTATATTTTATGGTAGTAGCTCTGCTAGACAGGTTTTGAAATGTTGACTGTCCAATGCTACTTCAAATATGAAACAAAAAAATCATACATTAGCACAAGTTTTTAAGTATGAGATAAGAAATTATGGCTTATCCTTGTCGCTTAGAAAAAAGGGGGAAAAAGTCGGCATAGCCATCAAATTAACTTATAAATTTTGCCATTTTTTTACTTTTCTTGTATCTTCTTTTAACACAATTTATCCTGATGATGATGATTCAGACTTAAGCTGCAGCGTTTGAGGCTACGGAAGGCTTTTCTTGCCAAAAAAACCTTGGGAAGCAAAGGAGATGATTCCAACGAAGAAGGGAAGGTATGCTGCATCTTTTAACTTGTATTTTATATCTTTTAAGAAACTGTGATTGTGGTGCTTGGGCCCTCAAGAAAGAAATTAGTTCAGTTGTCACGGTAAAATTTTTTGTAGTAGTCTTGAAAAAGAATGACTCGAAATGTACAAATCTATCTTTTTGGTTTTGTTGGAGATGAAATAGTGAGGTCAAACTCACTGAGGTGGCTTCAATTGAAGGTCATTTACGTATTATGTTGGGCATCATCACGAAATCGTTCCCATAATTTGCTGCTTTTTATTGCTGATAGGTACTTAAACTAGAGAGCTTTATTCTCAAAAATTTTAGTTTATTGTACATTCAAAATTTTCTGAGAAACTTCAGGAACAATGTTCCATATTTGTTGAAATTTACTATACCAATGAGCTTGTTCAGTAATGTTTAATCCCTGCATTTCTGAAAAGTAGAGAGTGCACGGAGTTCACAGGAATTTTTTCCGATTTTTTTAAACAATATTAACCCATGAAAAACAAGCTAAAAGTTGCTTATTTTAGGCTTCCATTTAAACGTCGGCGTTGGTGGGTCACCAAAAATGGCCGCTGCGGCCGCCCGTCGGAGAATGGCCACACTCGATGAGTTACCCACTGCGGCGTCCGTACATGATGTTCTATAGTCTTTGTGCGGCTATACGACGCCGCAGAGTTAATTCAACGAGTGTGGCCAATCTCCAACGGGCGGCCCGCCGACGCGCGTGTTAGTGGGAGCCCAAAATACGCGACTTTGAGCTCGTTTTTCGTGGGTTAATATTGTTCAAAAAAATCGGGGAAAAACTCCTGTAGACTCTGCACTTTCTAGTTTTCAGAAACGCAGAACTTAAACTTTACAAAACAAGCTCATTGATCACTATTGAACTGGCAGGCTTGAACCATGGAAATTGTATCTAGAGTATCAATGAAGTTCATTTTTAGCTAATTTTCAGGTTTCAAAAGATTTTAAGTTTTCTTTTGAGTGAAAGACACACGTGAAGACTGGCATGATCCAGAATTTTATGTTTTTCTCTAGTGAAGGCTAAACTTGAGTCTGACACTTGGAAGTTGCACTCTTTCAGAAGTCTTGCAAAGCCTTTCAAAATAATTATTCATTTCCGCTTTTCAACTTCTTACTGAATGGCTTAAAGTTTTCGGTTTTTCTCTAATTTTCACAACACATGGTTTTTATAATAGGAGGAAGCAGAAGAAGATGCAGATGAAAACGAGGAAATAGAGGAAGAAATTGAGGAAGAAGTTGAAGAAGAAGTCGAGGAAGAAGCAAAAGAAGAAGAAATAGAAACGGAAACAACTGATAAAGACAAAGAAAAAGAAAAAGATGATGAAGGAGAAGAAAAACCGAAACCCAAAGTAAAAAAAGTTGTGAAGAAAATCGTCAAAAAAGTAGTAAAGAAGCCTGCTAAAGCACCCACAGCTAACGGTCCAGTCAAGAAAGAAGGAGCATCAGAAAAATCTAGTGTAAGTTACTTTAGTGGCTCTGTAGCATACCAAATTCAAGATAGTTGCAGGGTCATCCTATGTTTATTCTTGCAATTGACTTGAATGATGTATTTAAATCTAAAAATGTATAACATTGGATTTACAAAAATCATGATTTATAATATTAACTAATTGAGATGATAGGTTTTTTTTTTTAACAATGTAGTTTAATGCTATCCAATGCAGGAATCGTTCAATCACTAATTTAGCATTGAGCAGTCTTGGGAGAAAAACAAAGGGATTACATTTTATCCACCATAATTCTCAAATAGTTAATCAGACTTTCAATTTTTATTGTTTTTGTGATATCATCAAAGAATTTGTGATCATTCATCTAATTCATATGCATTGATGTAATTTTTCAGAAGGATGTACCTGCGGAAAAAAAGGTCACAAAAGAAAGCAGCCCAGTCAGGAAGACTGCCACAGGGCGGCCATTTATTCGCCTAGAATGTCCTCAGTGCAAGGATCGCTATGTTACCTTCCGCGTAAGATTTGCCCAGAGTTTCTGCCTGTCTAAACATAACCAGATTTTTCATTCTTTACTTTTTACACCTTTCCATTCTAACTCATAACAGAAAATTTTCTAATCATCAGCTTGTAAAATCCTTTTCTTTGAATTTTTGACTTTGATTTAGGTTTCAGCCCAGACTTTAACCCATTCACTTACTACTAATTAATTTTGGCCAAATTACGTAACAATCAGTAGCTTTGAGCAATTCAAACTAATCCGAAAACTTCCTCTCGGTTAAAAATCATTACATCAAACATTTACATTAGGTTTTCTGAAGAAACGGGAAAAAAAATTGGTAATATGTAATGCTTTTATATCTTTAATTAATCACTGTCCAAATCACGAATATTTTAAAATGAACAAAAATCTGAAAAATGTAAGATTATATTATGTTAAACTATACAATAGCACAAAAATATTTTTAAAAATCAATAAATTACGGTACGAAGTAAGTTTTAGGATGGTCACACTACTCATATCAACATTGAAGAGAACGTGATGTACTGTGAAAAAATCAAGGTATTGTTAACATTGATGCCAAGTTGACTGACAGCTCGGAGCAGTGGCTTTAAGTTAATGGCTTTGCTGAAGAAAAAAACCAAAAAAAGTCATTCTCATTAATTATATCCAGATCAGTCTTTCTAGTGGTGAATGTATTAAAAAATGTTGTTAAGTTTGACTAGTGGGTCAGTTGCCCACACAAGAAATAGCAATCTGAGAATTTTTAAACGAGTGTAATAACACCAAATTCACATTGAGCTAATCAGCAGTGTCTACAGTACACCCCTTCTGGGCTTTTTTCAGGATTATGAAGATCATCTGCGCTCTGGCAAGCACAAATCAGCGATGCGCAACAGGTCCATGGAATTGAAAAAGAAGCTTGCTCGAATTCGCCTGCAACAACGGGACGAGCAGCGTGAAATCGATGAGAAACTGGCTGCGGAAGGAGAAACCTTCAAAACTATGTTTTGTGAAACTTGCAAACTCATCTTCAAGCAGAGGAGGATGGATCATAATGATTCAGATAACCACAAGGTACAGCCTCATTTTATAGGATCATTCTATATTTCTTTATCAGTAAGAATTTCCAACCAGTATAGTAACAAGTATTTTTATGAATTTTACCTAACTTTCAAATTGTGTTTGGAATAGAACTCCAACTTTTGATATTAAGTGGTATTGAATCTCTTTTGGTTGCAGCATTATGGGGAAAAGTCGGATTATTGGGAATTAGCTGACAGGGAGCTGGATAATGCTCTGTCTTTGGCATGTCCTGAAACATTACATTATTTTCCATGGAAGTAACTGTGATACGCAGAGTTTCTAACGGTTCGGAAAACCTGGAAAGTCAGGGAATTAAGCAAATTGCATGCCAGTTCTACAACTTTAGCCAATGCCATCCAAGAGAAATCCTAACGCCTTTTCCTCTAATTTGAATCTCTAGCAGTGGTGTCCATAGTTTATCCAAAGTCGGTGCAATTATTAGATAAAAAACATAAGTGGACGTTTCAATTGAAGGTCAGGGAAAGTCAGAGAATCGAATAATGAAATAATGATGAAAACTCTGGGTATGTCTTCAATGTTTTGCCATTAATATGTCCCTTGGCCCTTCAGATCTTTCCATCCTTCCTTACAAGCTGTAATTTCCCAAAAGAGGTAAAGTCTAGATAATGAGAGACCTCCGATATCTTCGATTTAATATTGCACCTTTCACATTTTACCATCACCCGGAGCTCTTACTTTTCTGTGGACAAATATTCAATTTAATTCCTATAGGAATCTTGTCATAAAATTTTTTGGCAGTTTGATCAGGCTCCTTTTAATTGTTTCAGAAAACAAAAATCCTGTTGAATCCCTACTGCAAGTGTTGCCGTATTCGGTTCCTGAGTCCCATGGCGTTTGAAGCTCATATTGCCTCACTCGACCACATCCAGGTGAGCTTTTCATTTCAATTTGTGTAGTTATCAAAGATAGCTGTAAACGTGTCCCTTGCCTAGCTGGGGGTAATGATTATTTTTTGTTGGTTGCTCAGAGCCAAATGGTCTCGATGGCCATTTTTCTCTGCATCATGTTTTCATCGAACTGCTGAGAGGTAATAATACTAACTGCGAGATTACTGCGGTACTGATTGGGAGACGCAGGTGATAGAAACATCTGAAAAAAGGTGGAATTGTCATGGTAATCTCTGTTGATATTCGTTTACAACCACTTTTTTTTGGTTTTTGAGCCTTTGCTAAAATGAATAGGCGGGGAACTTTTTAACAACGACCAGCTAATGTGAAAATCAGGAGATCTAAGTCCATCCTCGGACGCAGTTAGCATTGTAAGTGGCAGTGTGTAGAATCAAACACTGACGGAAGTTTACTAAGTACAGAATTTTTTCTCTCATTTAAAGGTTTGTTTAGATTATAGGCATCTTTTTCATTCTTATAAGCAGTTTTTTCATTCTATTCACTCCTATTTTCAATTTGTTTGTTTTCCTTTTTTCTATTAGCACAAAGCACGGTCTGAAGCATACGAAGAAAAAATGAAGCAGAAGAAAGCGAAAGAACAAGAGGAAGGCAAGGCTGTTAATATGGATAACTTCATGGTCCTTGACTCTGTTGGTTCAGGGGATGGTAAGTCATCAACAGCCTTTATCTTTAGAAATGCCCCCAGACCCAAGCTCAGTATTTCACCAGCAGTTTGACCAGAGGTGATAGAATTAGGCCTTAAGATACTATAGTATTGCTTAGTTACATGGCAACCCAACAAATAGTGCTTGCAGCTTGCTGAAAGCTTCCAAACCACAGCTTACCTAACCGTTGGTCCTTAAGAACCGGAATGAAAGTCAACATGTCAGTACCTTCGGATTTAAAGATCTTTTCCGGTGAAAGAAAACAGATACACTATTGAAGTAATGTGTATGCCACTTTGATTTAAATAAAATTTTGATCATAATCTCAACTTGATAAATACTGCTTCTCTGACTAATTTGCCTTTCCATACTATGGTCTGTTCCCCGATGGTGAATTACCTAAGTTAAATATATTCACAATAGTGAATCAATGAAAGAGCTCATAAAGTATTGGAAATTGCTTGTTTCAGAATCTGGTGATGATACAGAAGAGAAAACCGAAAATAAAGATGGAACTACAGAAGAGGGTAAAGAGGTGAAAAAGAAGAAATCTAAACCCATCAATCTTGGTAAGTATTCAATGTAGATTAAGATATCATTCCAAGCACTGTGAACCAAGACAAGAAGGTTATGTGACGGGCTGTTTCAACGAGTATTCATTTTTCAAAAATGATAACATACTGACAAATTATAACATGATTTACTTAGAAACAATAAAAAGTTTTCGGACAGGGTGTTCACAAGTCTTAAAAACAGGGAACAGGATAAAGTCGGGGAATTTTATCGAAAGAGACTGAAAAATTTTAAAAAAATCTTGAAACATGAAATCTGAAAAAAGGTCAGGGCTGTCCATAAATCAAACTAAGCCACAATCTGGCTTGGGGCTCAGAGCTCTAGCAGTTACATTCCCAAAAGTAAAAAGAGGAATCATTTTTAATAAAACTCGCAATTTTAGTTAATTGAACGATTAATGTCTGAAGACAAAATGTTCTGCTTTGCTCACTTGTTTCTGTCTTTTGCAGTGAAATCGATGTCAAGCATTTTTCATTTTCAGTTCTAACTTCTACACATTTGAATTGTTGATGCAAAAAGTAAGGGGATTTTGATTATTTCAATCAGGAAAAGCCTGGAAAATCCTGTCCAATCAGTAGACACCCTGCAGGAAATCTGCAACGCTGGTTTCATAGTTCTACCATCTTAAATAGTATGATCTAAGTATGCGGAAATGTTGACTTGAAAGTAGGACTAGTGGTGTTTTATCCATGTATTCAGCACATTATTGGTTTCTTGCAGGAAGTGAATTCTGCAGAAAAATTGAGGTCTACTACTGTGAGTTGTGCAGGATGCAAGTTCCGAGGTCTACCACCCTGGAAATGGCCCTTGCTTTACACTGTCGCAATCGGTTGCATTTGAAGAAGTTCATCCGAGCTCGAGATGACAAAGCCTTGCGCAAGAAAGCCGAAAAGATTCATCGGGAAAAAGAAGAAAGTGAGAAGAAAGAAAAGAAGGTAAGAATTTTGCATTTGCCTGTCAGATGATACTTTTAATTCATGAGGATATTTTGTTCTCACCAAAGAGTAGCAACTTGGCTGCCAGAAAATGCATACCTGCCCCCAAAATTTTCTGTCCAGTAAATTTGTCTCGCAGTATGCTCTTATCAGGGTGGCAAGTACCAGAAAAGTTAGTCAGTTTTACGCTAAGTACTGAAATTTCAAGGAGGGGGTAGGAAACTTTGCTGCCAAATCTTTGAATTGTTTTCCTCCAGTTGAAATATCCTAAATATACTTAACTGTTCCGATCAATAAACAAAAATCACAACTCGAAAATCTAACAGTCTGGAGTCACTGTATTAAAGCATAGTCTCTCCTGCAAAGTTTTCAAATGAGCATCTTGAACAGTTTCCAAGTCTTCAACCAATATCAAGAGCAATAACTTTTTTCTTATTTTTTTCCTTTGACTTTTGACTTTTCATCCTCACAAATGTTCCGTCATCCCTCATTTTATAGGCCCTTTCCTCATTTTCACATCAAGCACTTTCTGTCCCCATAGAAGTTACTTCATCCAATAGTCATTTGCAGAGAGGAAGTAAACCACTGCCAACCTTCAAACTCAAGCTCTACCCTCTTTTTAACCAAAAAACCATCTAACTTGAAACTTTGTCATTTTCTAGGTTGTCGAAGTGAAGAAAGAGAAAATGGATGGTGAAATAAGTGAAAACATCTCTGTGGAAGAGAGACCTATTAAGCAAGAAGAGGAATGCGACTCTGAAGCTGAAGGAAAGTTCTGGAAAGAGATAGAATCGGACCTACCAGATATCTCGGATGACGTCGAAAACAAATCCTCCGATGATGAGGATGGTTCCAACAGCAGATACGACCGCTTCAATACCAACAATGATGACAAGCCACTCAAAACAGATTCTTGCACTGTGGATGAGAAAGAAACAACAGAGGAGGCGGCTGTAGAGGAGGAGGAAGAGACTAAAGAAGAAACCGAATCAAAGGAAGTTGAGACATAGAATTAGTTAAAGCTTGTAAATTATCTCAGTCTGTTTAACGGACTCAGGTTTATTATGTCAGGGCTTATATTTAAGGCTTGAAGAAGTTCAGTGTGAACTTTTTTTGCATGATTCACTCGCATGATAGAATTTTTTATTTAAGAAGTGAAACAATTTTAAGAAATAAGTCTATAATCATCAAAACAACTTAATTTTTTTAGTAAATCATACATTTTAAGACTGAAACAGTGATTTATCATTGATCTCTGGATCGCCGTTGGAATTAAAACAAATAGTTAATTCTCAATAAAATAAAAAAAATGAAAAATCTGAATATATTCTGAAATAATTTTTGACCAAGGAATGCAATATTATCAAGTCAATGGCTTCGAGGTAATTTATTCTATGATCTGTGTGTAAAATTTAATTTACTTCAGTGTTGCAATTCTAAATGTTTATTTTAATTTAAATCTAGAAAATCAGAAAGCAAGAAGAAAACAGAATGTACCTCGAAATTCAGACCAGTAACTAACTCCATCTGATAATACTTCTCATTTGAACACTCTTTGACAAAAATCAGGGAAATGTTGGAGTACTTTTAAGAATGGTGAAGGTGGTTAGAGAATTTCTACGGCAATCTGGATGACTCTTCGGGCAATCTCTAGAGGAGTCCCTCTTAAACCAGGCATGTGTCTCAAATCCTGCTTTAAAATACATGTCTCTCTGTTCAATGTTTAAAAGTGAGCAGAAAAAATCTGATTATTTGAAGGCATTACTTTCTATCAAAAGCAAAAAATTATGTACAGACAACAAGTAGGTATTCTACTCGTCTCAGCATATGTCGCTGGCAAGATCAACAATTGAGCAATGTTGAAGCTTTCTTAGAACAAAAATAGATGTTTTTGCAGTCTCAAGAAAGCATTCTTGTGGTTTTGACCCTCCTTAGTTCCTGAAACTGACAAAATAAGTACCAATACTTAACTTTATTGTGGATATTTTCGTTGCGACAGTGTTTTGTCCTGATTACCTTTTTTTTTTAGCTTAGAAGCACAATTTTGTAGATAGGAAAAGGTAAGATGCCTAATTTAGCCATGTTTGATAATATTTTGGGTGCGCCCAGCCAATCTCCTGCTTGAACAAGTTCAGCTCTAGAAGTCACTTAATGACCTTAAATTAATCCATGTTGATTTACTTACTGAAGCCTCATTTACATTATAAGCTGTATGTTTTATTTTACCATGAGACTGTTTCATCTCTTCATAATCTTTATATCTCTCCTGTATTCATTACAATTGGAGAATAAAATAAGTTTCCCTGTCACTTGAGTATTTGCATCTATTCACTTCCTGCCTCAGTATGTCCTGTCATTCGTGAAATCGGCTAACTTGAACGTCTTTAAACCGAAAGAAATTAAGAGATTTGAATAGACTTGTCTTTGCCAAAGCACTGTAATGTGAAGTCAGGAGGTACAATGCTAGAACAAGTTCAATCATCTCTTTGTACAGTTAAGTCCCTGGTTGAAATCTGGCAGGTGCTCATGAGACCCTGTTAAGTTTTAAGCAAAGATCATTAATTTTAACTCCGAAGTGTTTTGCCAGAGCTGATAGTCAATTTGACTATGAAGTTCTGCACTGTGGCCCTAAAATCCTAAAAGCAGCATTTATAACTTCGTTCTGTTAGGAAGTTAAGTCTCTTACGTGTCTCTAGAGGTGGTAGAATCAGACCTCAATTCAGATCCATTTATTTTGCTGAGAGACATTCAGGTATACATGCAGTGCCAGAAACGAAAGTTAATCAAAGCATATTTTAAGTTGCACTTGTATCAATACACAAAATGAACCTCAATATAGCAATAGCCCAGAAAAACTTAGATTAGAAGTAGAGTCCATGCCAAACAAGTTTATGCACCTTTAGACTGCAACAGAGGATCTGCCATCTAGATTCTTTCATTTACTTTACCGGTGGAAGTGATGTCAGACTATCTTCTGGCACAGTCTATAGGTGCCAGAACTCATTTGGTGAGGTCTCCATCATAATGTTAATTTTTTTTCCAGAAAACAAAAGGACAAATGATAAAAAGTCCAAACATTTATTAGGAAATATAAATAAAAAGCCCACAGATAAATTTCACAAGAGACTTACTTTCTAATAATAGGAGATTATATATTATGTAGTCTATTAGGTACCAGAGTAGGTACATAAAATATTCAATCGATGTCTATGTAGGTACATGATTGAATAAATAAAATTGTAGGATATTAAAGCAATAAAGTCTATAGTTTATTTTGCAAATACACTCGAACAGTATTAAAACACTCATCAAATTAACAGTAAGATAAAATTCGATCATACTTTGGATTTGCAAGGAAATTCAACAAATTTAATAAAAAACAAAAACAGGAATGGGTTCCTTGGAGGGATGGCCCAGTTAAATGATCTACTTCAATGTGCCAGAACAAGGAAAGCATGACAAATAGAGGTATGTTGAAGTGGGATAGACGGTGAATGAAAATGCAATCAATGAGAACTGTATAGAATCTTCCAGTAGGGTTGAGGACTGACTTCCCTCAAAAATTTAACCACACCCACAACACGATGGAGGAGGTGGGATATCAGCCATGGATCCGAATCCTCTCACATTCCTTCCCCCTTTCGGATTGCTACAGAAAACAAGAAAGAAATTCAAAGTAAATAGAGGATCAATTTGAAATATTTCAATCAAAACGAACAATCTCCATTGCGATACAGGCCCCAAGACAAAAGGACAACAATAAAGACAGCTCCTTTTAATTTGGTTACATTCGATTTATCAACTTGAAATTTTCTGAACACTGACTTAATCATGATTTTCATTGTTGTTGCAGAGTTCGTTATTTTAAGACTTTGACCGACCACTAACAAAACCTGTGTAGCCAGGGACAAACTTTTCAGGAGAAAAATGTAGTCTTTTGAAGAATTTGGTCATAGGATTTTCGATAGAGAACACTATTTAGTCTAGTATCTCAAAAAATAAGTTGAGAGTCATTTCGCTGGTTTATTTCCGTGCCAATAGAGAAAGTACATTGAAATTCGCAATTCTGAGTCCCAAAAACTGCGAATAAGACTTCTAAATTGCTCTTACCAAAACTTTCAAGAGCAAATTTTAAACTGTAGTACCTACGTAGGTTGGGCGTTTAAGCGAGAACTTTTGAGCCATCATGTTAGTAAAACACATTTTAAAGTAATGATTTCTATAACTAGACTTGAAGCTTTCTTGAGGTGAAGTACTTTTCCTATTAACAGTCCTGTCAACAGGACAGGTGCATAGAAGAATTTAATAAAACAAACTGAGAATAATTGGTAATCACACCTCAATTTAAAATAAACAACATGGACATGAATGGTAACATTCTCTTCATCAATGGACCACTAGACAAGGTACAAATTTCAGCATTCTGATACTTGTTTCTTCACCAAAATTTCACGTAGAACATGATACGCACAACAAAAATTACCGAAATTAAGTCCTTACGAAGATATTTAATGATTCTTGGTGCGTGAATTGAAACCATCTGCTCATGAAAACTCAATGCTCTACATGATTCACATCACGCGCTAAACGTCATCATGAACGTCTCTGCGATAAAAAAATCTAGCAACCTCAATCTTGACACTTTGGCTCAGCTATAGCAAATTACTTATAGTTTGAAAAACACATGATGGGAAATGAACATTGCTTGATTGAGAAGCTTGCAGAAACCGTTGTAGTGCGTGATTTGACTCACGTAGAGCTTTGAGTTTCTTGTGAGCGGGCAGTTCAAATTCCTCGTAACCAATGTGAAATAAAAATGTTAATATCTCTGTTAGGAGTTGGTTTCAGTAATTTTCGTTGCGCGAATCATGTTCTACATGAAATTCTGGTTAAGACACAAGTATCAGAATGCTTAAATTCGAACCTTGTCTGGTGGTCCATTAAGGAACTGAAACGAGAGAAAAATTATAAAAAATTTATATCTCACCCTCTTGGTGGTCCATTCCCCCCGCTTCCACCACCCCATCCTCCACTGCCGCCACCTCCACCACCATTGTCGCCTCGTCTTGAGGATCCACCTGTGATGGAGCTGCCGAACCCACTGTTAAGGCCAGGAATCATTGTCTGGAAGCTGGGAAACAGAAATAAATAAATTGAAAAAGCAACCACCATTTGGGAGAGAGAAGGAAAACTAATGTGAGACAAAATCCTAGCTGAGTGGATCGAGGGTATTGTTGCTTATGAAAAGTTTGTAAAACTGGTGACTAGCTGAAGAGTTTTTCGGTGATGACGGAGAGATGAGTTGAAATCTAAAACAGTGCTAAAGCTATGCATGATTGAGATTTTCACTCATTCTCTGCTGCCTAATTTTTTTCTTTCTTTTTGGAAGTGTAATTGCTACTAAATTGAATATTTAATTGTAATTAGATTCCAAGTGGAAAGTTTTTCGAGTTATTGTTTCCTCTCTTAATTCTTATTGGAAAAATTACAAAAAGCTCAAGAGATGAACAGGGAGACTTTTGAATTTTTACTAATCTCCGCATCGGGTGATTATGGTATAGAAAAATGTGTGAAGATAACACTAACTGGAGGCCTGGAACGATTTACACCAGTAAAAGAGATACAAAAAACTACTTATGAACGATACTTACAACATGACAACAAAATTTAGAATACCCCAAAAGAAATTCATCAATCGCTTCATAAGGGGGGGTGTATCTCGGACAGCACCATCTAGAACACATAAAAAATCAACTATTAAAAATGCGGCCTGTCAAAATTTGATGGTAGATGGTGACCAACAGTAATTAGCTGGTCTACTTTGATCGGAATTTACTTATTTAATTATTTTATTAGTATAAAACAAAATTACAATTATAATCATACTTAAACTGGCAAGACCCTTCTATAAGCATCAATATGCTCTTCAAAAAACAAATTTGGAGCAAACATTCAGGAAACCGTAACTAAGGTATGCGGTTTCGTAATTTTCTCAACACCGTGAAATCATCTCTGCTAAGGAGACATCAACAGCAATCTCCCCAGGGTCACAGGGGTACGGTATATTTTTATTTTGGCTCACTGCAATAAGTACTCACTTTTGGCGATGTAAACCATCCTTGTAGTTGTGGCTGATCAAAAATGAAGGCTCATTGATCAGACAATCAGGAAATGGTCGGTTAAGGTTAGGATCTGAAAAAAACACTGATTCGTGATTCGTAAGGCAAAGGAATTTGCTCTTTCACGTCTCAAATTTTCATTACTGACTGATAATTCTTTGCACACTGCATTCGTCACGATATATGACACGAATTCATCACAAATTAACTAAACTTCAAGGTTGATAATTTTTTGTTTACCCACACACGAAAGAACAACAGGAAAACCTCGACGACAGATGAGCAAACACTCAGACGAAAATGATACCGGCTAAAATTTATTTATTTTTCTGCTGTGTTCTCCTCCTATTGGTCTGTGCATTCGTTAGCGGGCTTTTGCGATTATCTAATTTTGAAATCATAGAATTTGATTGGGTATTTGAGGCGGAAACGAATGTTATTCGGATCGTTTCCGGCTTCAAAACGGTTCCAATTGGTTGGACCGCTTTCATTTATATGACCACCATGACTGACCATGACTCGTGGCATTTTGACACCGCCGTATCAACTGGTGGCAAAACTGGTGGTATATTTTCCTTCTGTGTTGTATTGTTGATAAAAATGCCTCCACGGTGACCATGTGCGCTGCAGAATTTTTACATTTTATTTAATCGTGTCTCATTTTTAAACCATAATGGTAGACGAGTATGAAACGGATAAGAAGAAAAGCCATCGAGAACGACAGGCTGGTAAGAAATTCACCTTTTTGTCTTCTCTTTTGATGATTTTAACCTAGGTTGTAGGTTATGTTTACCTCCGATGAAACACTTTTACACCAAACTTTAGGGCGTAATGACGAAACGTCCCCGTCGACTGAAATGGATGAAAATTACAGGTCCCTAATGGCATGGAACCCCTGGCTCATTTTAGCCGATCCCAAAGAACATTAAGGCCAATTCACACTATCAAACTTCTCATTCAACTTCGAGACGCAGCTTGTCGAATGATAATTTGGACAGTGTGATACTGACGAGAGAAAACTATGATTCGATGAAAAATTACACGGAAACCTGAATTTAACGTCACATTCAACTTTCCATCCAATTGGCGCCCCCAATTGGATGGAAAGTAGAACGAAACGTTCTGACTGACATGAGCGGAAGCTGATCTTCGCGGACCGCAGGCTGATGACAATATCACACTGTAATGGTAATTGAATCAATTGTTTTGAGTCCAACTTTTCGTTCAAGCATGTCAGATGAAAAGTTTGATAGTGTGAATTAGGCTTTACTGCGCTGCCAGGTTGATGGTGTGATCGCTGAAGAGAGAACAAGAGAAGCAATTTGAACTGTTGGTGGAGTGGCAGCCCCTACTATTATGAGTCGTCTCTTATTGACTGATTTGCCTGGCACCCACTCTCTTTGGCCCTTATGTTAAATAACACGGGGTTATTTTTTATTGAAAATATCTTGAAAGCAATGAAAAATTTACGTGTCGGAGATTTCAGAATTCAGTTCCCCAGATTTTTCTGAGGAGATTGATTGGTCATACATGACACTTTTTTCTCCAGAACACCGAACAGTTTGACCTGAATTTTTTTTTTTTTAAACTAGAATTATGATACCTGGTGACATGCGAAAACATAATCCCAGGTTGAGCTGTTCAATGTATTCGAGAAAGAAGTGCCCATCAATCTCTGAAGAAAAATCTGGAGAATGGATTGGTAAAATTTTGATGTATACATTTTTCCTTGTTTTTGAGACATTTGCGATGCAACATGAACCCTGTGTTATTTTTCGTAAGGGCCCCAGAAAGTTGGCACCTGGCGGATAAGCCGATCAGAGACGACTCGTAAAAGTAGGGAGTACCACTCGGTCTGTAATTCAAATTGCTGCTCTTGTTTTCTCTTTGGTGGTCGTCTTGTCAACGTTACTCTTTCTATCAATATAGTCTTTGACCATCCTGTACAGTGAGCAATCTTAAGCCCAAAGTATCTGCCAACTTGTCCTCAGAATTATGCTTTGCCCATCAATGGAGAATAGGAATGAGATCCTGAACCCTGAGTGTCCTCCGAAGTGAAATCAACATTTAAGACCATTTTCATTCTGTGGAATTAATGAGCTAACATCTGATTTATTGTGTAAGGTCTAAAAGTTAGAAATTTCACACATTCTTCTAATTGTTGCTGCATCCAAACCATGGTGATAACAATAGGAAAAAAACCTCTTATCTAGTGTTAGCGAAATATTTTCAAATCCTAGGAAGCTCCTTGTAGGATTCGGAGGAATCTGGTTATGTGCTCTAACCTTTAGCGTTAGATACTCATCATTTATCTCCTACAATTATAAATCAATTGCACACTCAAGTGAGCCAGGTGATCCTATTTATCTGATGATTTTCTTGACAAAGCTTTTTAATTACTAATGTCGAAGCACCTCTAGGACCAGATTTAAGGAAGATTGAGGACCATGGCAGCAAATCACAGGAATGTGTAGGCGGTTTTCAATCTGTGTTTGGTTTTTCAAATCTTCCAATCTCATCTCTCTCAGGATGTAAGAGTGGCAAACTGTTGTCAACCCAAAGTGGCAAATTTGTAATAACCACCCTAAGCACCTTCTCTATTTCCTTTTGTCTGTTTATGTATCCCAAATTCCCCTCTCCTGTTTCCTCCCAGTAGAATCCTATTGTATCAATCTTCATCTTTATTTTAATGACATTTTTATCCTCATAGGTCGTAAAGCAGAGAAAAAGAAGAAGAAAAAAGAACTCCAGCAAAATGATCAGGAAAAGAGCAATAATCCAAAAGCCTTTGCCATAAATTCAGTTGTAAGAGCGGAGCGAAAATTTCGTAGGTTTGTGAACATTTGGTTTTCTCTTCCTTTTTTTTTTTTTACCCTATGGACTTGTCATCAAGGAAGCACTTAGCCATATTCAATTTTATTTAAACAGTCATTTGTTTATCATTACTTTATATTTTAGTGTGAAAAGTTTTACTTGAATTTAGTTCAATGTTGTACCTCAATAAATTGAGCCTTTAAGTAAGCATTTAAACTATCGAAATAAAACATAATTAATTTTGTTAGGTAGTGGCCAAGAATTTAGGTTAGGTCATAGAAAAACATGGAAAAAATTTTAAAGGACACAAATTATCTTTTAATCCTGGCAGTGTTGTCATGATTTCTCAACCCATTCAACTCTTGCCTTGCACTCAAGCACAAAACAAAATAAGGAAATATTTTTTTCAAGAAATCTCTGCTGGCTTCCATTTAGGAGCCTAAATGGTCATAGACACTCAAGAAACCCCTTGAATTCAATTAATCCGATTATTGTGTTGATTTTTGTACTTTCAGAGGTCAAGATGTCCAAACAAAAAAGCAGCATATTCCTGTTGTTGATAGAACTCCTTTGGAGCCTCCGCCAATCCTTGTCGTGGTTGTTGGTCCTCCAAAAGTTGGCAAAACTACACTTATCCAGTGTTTAATAAAGAACTTTACCAAGCAGCCCCTGACCTCCATCAAAGGCCCTGTCACAGTTGTCTCTGGTACACATTTTTTTCTTAGTTTTTTTTTACTCCACAGGAGCAGGTTTTGCATTTTGTATTAGCTCCTATTTGGATAGAGTTAAATTAAATAGTCACAACTATGTTGCAGTGTTTCAAAATGTTGTCTCCTATTTTAATTTTTTGGAAGGAAAGGAACCAACATTTTCGTTGGAAATTTTGTGGCAATAACCGCCGTTTGGGCAAGGAAAATTTCAACAATTTTTGAGTGGGGGTGTTAGTTGGCCTCCTTCCAAAAAAGAAAAGCAGCAGATAAAATTTTGAAACATCATAATATAATATAAATACAACTGTTTTGCATAACTCTAACCATTTGTAAAAAAGACAGTTTTTACCTCATGCAATTGCAAATTTTTGTTGTAGTAGTAGCCGGGCTGACCAGCAAAATGTCTCCTTAGAGCTCAGTCAATAGGTATAATTTCATTGTGCACCTCTAAGTTGAACCATGCTCCTTCACTAATACTAATAAAACAAAATAATGAATTTAAGATTTTGGTATGCTCCCAGGGAAAGGAAGGAAGATATTTTGGGCTCATAATATTCACTCAAGTTTGCCAGATACCTAATTGATAGAAAACAAAGTTTTATACTGTCAGTGGTTTTTTTATCAGTGCTCTATTTTGCTGCCTCTAACAAACAGTATTTTTACAGGCAAAAAAAGGCGTATCACTTTTATGGAATGTAACAACGATATTAACAGCATGATTGATCTGGCCAAAGTGGCTGACTTGGTTCTACTTCTGATAGATGCATCATTTGGATTTGAAATGGAGATTTTTGAGTTTTTAAATATATGTCAAGTAAGTTTTTATAGCAGATGGTAAAATTATGTTCTTATTTCAACCTGCTAATTTTATTTTTAAGCGAAATGAATAATTCACTGCTCGGTGAAATTTGGCCAAGTGCAGCTACGGCTCAGACGAAACGCTGCTTAAGTCAAAACATTTTTCAGCCCCTAGATATTGCTTTAAGGTTTTATTTAAAATATTTCTATCAAGACAAATTTGTAAAACGTATGATTGAGAAAAAACTGCTAGAGTTGAAATTTTTTTTTCGGCAAACCTACAAAAAAATTAAATTTATTTGCCAGAAATTAGGAGAAAAAACGTTTCTACAAAGGAATTATGATGACCTGCACCTGTAGTTTTGAATGAGAATAGAAGTAAGAGCTTGAAAATCTGTGATTTTTGATGCACTTTGATGATTAAAATTTAAAAAGCATAAATATTAAAGACCTTAAGTTGAATTTTTTTTAAACTGATCATTCAAAGCTGAAAAAAAAATAAAATAAAGTGATAAAATCTAAAAATTAACTCTCAAAATTCAAAATTAGTATTCTACCTAGCATTGAAAAATTTCTAGCCTAAGTGGCAAAGCGGTTAAAACGAAAAACCACCCAAGTTGAAATCTCTCTCGGCCCTTGACAATTTGTTTTAGGGAGATTTCTTTGTAACTAATTCTAATGATATAACCAATGAATAGATACATCTCCATCAACTGATTTTGTTATGTACTATGATTTTGTAGGTTCATGGTATGCCGAAAATCATGGGTGTCCTCACTCATTTGGATATGTTGAAAGAAAACAAAACTCTGAGACGAATAAAGAAGGACCTGAAGCACCGATTCTGGACAGAGGTTTATCAAGGGGCAAAACTTTTCTACCTATCTGGTATTCTGCACGGAGAGTACCTGAAGAATGAAGTGAAAAATTTGTGCAGGTTTATTTCTGTAATGAAATTTAGACCGCTGATTTGGCAGACTTCTCACCCATTTTTAATAGGTCAGAATCTTTAAGTTATTCCTCTTTCATTTTTTCCGGGGCCAAGTTAAGTTCAAAGTGAAACCCGATGTTTCAAGTCAATGAGGTCAAATTTCTCAGCGAATTATAATCATTATGCCCAAAATAAGGTAGAGTCATTTGCATTGAAAACTAGGAGATCCAAAAAAAGAGTTTAAATTGAAATAAATTTACGAAGAGGGTGTATTCATGAATAAGTACTGTATTTAATTTATTACATAGCTTTTAGTATCTTCCAGCTTCCTCAGTATTAACCCATATGCTTACATTTTTTCACCTGTTATTTTCATTTTCTTTGTGTTGGTTCCTTATTCATCTAACTTCTAGCATATCTCATACCAGGCTCATAACGGAACATTGTATTGGTTTTTTTTTTGTAGCGGACAGGATGGAAGACTTGACACCTCCGGAAGAAATTAGGCAGAATCCTAAATGTGACCGTACTGTCAGTTTATATGGTTACGTCAGAGGAATCCCTCTCAATAGACACAGCACAGTCCACATTCCTGGTGAGTCAATTTTATTTTCCCACAGTAACCATAGATCTTTATCACCAGTCTTGCCTTTCTGTGTCCTCTAGGAACTTTGATGGTCGGGAACAGGAAATCTTAGAAAAATTCCCAGCTGTTTTTCAAAAAGTAATAATTGCTGTTCAGATATTTATGGATATAAGGACTCTGTATTGCCTTGTTTTATAAGGAACCTGCAATATCAGTTTCGCAGAAGTTGTTAGGAAGGAGAAAATTCCCATGTCACAGTGGCAAAGTCTGTAACATTGCTTTTCTAATTTAAAACACGTAATAAATAATTGATTCTAGAAAAGGAGGTTTACTTTGACAAATTTCAATCATTTTAGATGCATTAAAATGAACGGAACGGAATATTTGTCAACTTGTGAGAATTGCAACTGTGTTTTTGATGTGTCAGACGAAGCAAAAATTTTAAAAGTTTTGAAGTCCCAGCAAAGTAACACAAGTTACTTTATCCAACCACATATTGCCTTGAATTATTATTAAGTAAATAATGAAGACTTTCAGGACTTCAAGACTTTCTATTTACAGGATTTATCACTCATAGTTACATTTTAAACTGGAACTCTTTGATGAATGCAGGTTGTGGCGACTCAAAATTAGCAGACGTGTGCTTCCTCCCAGATCCTTGTCCTTTGCCTGACAAGTTGAAAAAACGAAGTCTAGTCGAAAAAGAACGCTTGATCTATGCTCCCTTTTCTGGTGTCGGAGGGATTGTTTATGATAAGGATGCTGTTTATGTTGAATTGGCAGGCAGCCATTCCCACAAAGTAAGCACTAAGTTCTGAACTCTTCAAATGAGCCTGTAGAAATATGTAACTTAATTGTATAGTTGAATAATTAATGAGCTTGACTTTGGTAGACTAGTCCCTTCTCATAGATTCTTATCTTTTTTCTTTCTTTTTTCAATTTTATCTCACTTCAAGATTTTGAAGGCTAAAGCCGAAAAATGCGTATCTCTTATTGTGATAGTATAAGTCTCAGCACATGTTTTTCAAAGGAAAAGTCGGTGTGATTTTCTATTAAAGTATTTTGTGGAATATCTTCACCCATCCTGAAAAAATCGCCAAAAATTGCAAGGAAACATTTGGTCTAGCTTTCCTTAAGGAAAATGTAACATAATCAGAGATCTGTAAATATTGCAATTAAGATACGTATTTTTAGCATTTACCCATTGGTATTTACATTTAAGACATTGTGTTTTTGAGATGAAAGTGGAGTCGATTTTGAAATGAATGTTCCCCAATTATAAAATGTGTATATCTACTTCTTCATTTTCTTACAAAAATACCCAAGAAAACGAAAAACATTACTCATGATGGTTTTCTTTCTCCTTCTGCTCTATGAATTAGTGTTACTTTTTCCTCTGTATTTATATCCTAATTTTTTTTTTTTTCAGAAATCAAGGGAATCAGAACCAGAAAGGAAATTAGTCAGTTCCATTGTAGATACCAAACTAACCTTAGATGAAAAGATAGCCCAGAGTGAGGTGCAGCTTTTTTCCAACACAAAACCCATTGTTGCCTCAGAATTCCAAGAGTAAGTGTTTCTTATCTTTAAAACGTTTCTTGAACTCTTGACAGGATATCGGTATGGTTAGCTTGCTTACTAATCAGTGCGTGAGCATCAAAGTTGCATAAACCATGTATGATTGTTGTGGAATTTTTTTTTTTTTTTTTTTTTTTTTTTTTTTTTTTTTTTTTTTTAGGAAATTACACGGGCTATCGATGTGTCAATGTAATTTTGGAAATTTAATATGCTTGAGCCTTCATCTCTGGTTTTCTTTTATTTCAGTGATTTGAAACCATGTCCTAATGAAAGTATGGAAGTCGACCACCCTAGCCATATCAGACATGATAAAAACACCAGTTTGGCTGAAAATGATGAAGATGCCAGTGATAGTGACAACTCAGACAGTGACGATGAAATGCATGGTGCGGAAAATGAAGTAACAAGCGATGATGGTGCAGATAGTTCTGATGAAGATGAAGGCAATGATGCAGAAGTAGACAGTGATTACAGCTCTGCAAACGATCACGATGAAAGTATGGGAGAGAGCTGTGAGCGTCTGGAACACGGTGAAGAATCAGAAACCGACAATGACTCAGACAGTGATGGTAGTGTGTTTGAAGCTAAGGACTCAAATGTCAATTGGAAGAGTAATTTAGCTATGAAAGCAGCCGATGCATTTGTTGAGCGGCAAAACAGTTCAGCCAACCTTTGGAATCTTGTCTATGGTATGATTCTCAAGTTCTTTTAAGTAGAGCTACCGTATGCCCCATCAGCACTTGAGGAATAAGCTCTAATCTGATTCTTGGCAAAAATTAAGGGAAGTCACCTGATCATGGGTGTCCATAAAAAAAGTGCCCTAATTCAAATAAACTTTAAACCGAGTCATTCCTGTGTATTTTACCAACATTTTTGTACAAGAAATTCTAAAAAATTTCAATTCAAACCGTAGTCAAAAATTAGCAAATTCAAGGCTCAAAACATTCAAGGCATCAGATTAAAATGCAACTTCACTTTTTTAGCTTGATAATGAATCAAATATTCTACGACTTGTTCCGTGGGATGTTTACAAATGGTTTTAACCTCCATTTTACTAGGTGCTTAGTTTTTCTAAATCCCCCAGTGATTGTGCTAAATGTGTCTAGAAATGAGGAAACTAGTGGATTGCATGGAAAAGCTCAACAGACTGTAAGACAAATATCCCAGAGTTAAAATTTTCTCATCATGCTAATTCCATCCATAACTAAAATGCAGTCATCATTTGCCCAAGCTTTAACCAAAGTAATTCCTGTAACTACTGCTCCATTTGTTTTTAATAGTCCTCGATCTCTGGTTTGTCAAATTAATTTGTAATCCTAACTCTGCTTTTATTCAGGATACAACCCAATGGATCAATCCAGTGATTCAGAAGACAATGAAAATGAGATCGGTGGCTTGTTTCGGGTTGTGAGACAAAAGCAACAATCGAAGTTGGAAGAAAAAGATACCATGGATAGTGTGGACTCTTCTAAGTTTCCCATCAAGCAGCTGAAAGATTGGACCAATGAATCGGTGAGTACTTGTAAATCAAGTAGGGTTTTTCTTAAGTGGGAGAACTTTAATTTGCCTGTATTTTTTGTTGTTAATAACCGAGTCTAAGAAAATTGTTTACTCCTTCAGGTAAAAAAAATGTACATGACATGATACTGATGATAATGAAATGACTTTTCACCAGAAAATGCTATTCAAATCGGAGTTCAAACATTAAAATAATATATTTTACATTTCCACTCTTCTTTCTCTCGCTAATTCTGTCCGGTACAAATGCAAAGTTGCCTATTTTTTCAGAATTCTCTTGTGAAGAATCATGCTAGGTACCTCTAAAAACCCTCAAATATTCCTTGATTTTTTCTCCGATTTTAAGTTCTTGGAAGTAAATTGATAAGTTGGAAAAGTAGTGAACAGATGCAAAAATCCTCAAATTTGCGGTCCAATTTCCAAAAATGTTATCATATGATTTTCCTCTTTTTTGAGCATCTTCAAGTAAACCTTGATTGTGATGAAAGCGCTTAAAGTTGTCATGTTGATGATCAAAAGAAAAATATGTTTACCATTACAGCCCATAAATGATCTTGAAACAAATTTCTAAAAAGTCCAAAAAGTTCTCGTAGTTTTAGTAAAAAGTCCTCCACAAATGTAGCAGAGGTCCTTGAACTTATATTATATAGGTTAAATGAATCCTACTTTTATTAATGATTTTAGTATAAAAAAGCTTTTAAGGATATTGTTTGTGATATCTACCACTGCTAATAGCAATTAAAACCTTCAGTGAACAGAACAGGTAACATGTTTTCCTTATTTTGAGAAAATTAACTCCAAGTTCCAAAATTACATGGATGTTATACTTCATGGGAAGTAAAGCTGATGTTGCCAGAAAGAAAATTCAATTTTTCTTCATTATTTCCTTGGAAACAAGTTCTGTTTAACATCATTAGTATCCTAACACACATTCATTTTTTCTCACAGATAAAAGAAAGTATCCGAGATTGTTTTGTAACTGGAAAATGGAAAGCGTCAGAAGATGCTTCAGAGCTGCTCCGACTAGATGATCTCACCGATGAAGATGAAGAGCTTTATGATGACTTTGAAGATCTGGAAACTGGTGAAAAGCACACAGTAGAATCGGCGAAGAAACCCAGCAAAGATGATGATGAAACAGAACTGGACGACAGCAAAGAACCAGAGGAGCCAATGACAAAAGAAAAACTCATGGAGAAGAAGCGAAAGCTGAAAGAAAAGTTTGATGCTGAATATGATGATAAAACAGGCGAAGGCTCTTCATACTATGACGACTTGAAGCAGGAGGCATCAAAACAGGCGGAACTGAACAAAAGCATGTTCGAGGGGCTAGAAGATGAAGTCCGAGTCGAATTGGAAGGTTTCAGATCGGGGATGTATGTGAGGATGGAGTTGACGCAGATGTCCTGTGAGCTAGTCACTAATTTTGATCCAACCTATCCTTTAATAGTAGGAGGATTGCAGTCAGGAGAGGAAACTATCGGATATGTTAATGTAAGTAGACAAATCTTTGTTCATAAGGTAACTAGACTTGGGTTAGTCCAATGGCAGAGTCGAGGTAATATTTACCAATATAGGACATATCCTCAGGGAATGATGCTGACAGTAGCCTTGTTATGATTACTCTGGCGTACAGTTCACCTAATCTGATTAGATTGATCTAATGGAGATCTGTAGCACTATGCCAACGAAGCGACTGAATCAGGTAAAATGTTTGAAAAGCAGTGGCGTTGTAAACTAATCAAAAATCTGCTGCAGATTGGAAAACTCCAAAAGTTACATCATTATTTTATTACAGATAAATGTATTTATTGGAGCAAAGGTACTTGTAAATATTTTTATACCTGCTAACTTTCAGATTTACCTAATCCATTTTCAGAAGTTACAGTTAGCGAGTGATAACGTTGGCAGCAAAGTAATACTAACATTTTTATATATTTTTAGAATATGTGGAACATATCTACGATTAAACCGAAAAAAAATTTCTTTTTTAAATATGTTTTCCTTGTTCCAAAGAAGTACCATTTCAGCATTGCTTTAGTAATTATGCTATCACTCGATATCTGTAATCTCTGAAGATGGATTAAATCCGAAAGTGCACGCAACTTAATGTAAATAAAATTATTTTCAAACATCTTTGACATGACAAAATTATTTACGTATATTAAATAGATCCTAAAAATATATAGATGATAAATTGATGTCAAAAATTAAATATTATCTTGTTACCAGACTGACCTGAGTTTATCGACCTTGCTTTTTTCACACTAATTCTTAAAAGCACCCTTCTTAATTTGAAAAAATGCAGCTTTTTTAATGTAATGGTATCTGAAGCTTCATCATCCACCCTTAAAAACATCAATTGGGAGAAAAATTTCAGTGTCTTCAACCACCTAAACTACATATTAATTAGTAGTGGTTGTTAGTTTCCAATTTTTGAGATTCACTTATGGGAAAAACTTCACCTATGAACAGTTTGAGTCTGGGATATTATTTATCTAATTTATTGTTGAATATGGCGGGTATGTAGATGCATTTGTAGCCGACGAGACCAGCCAGATTTTGGCCTCGAATAAGAGTGGTTTTTGCTTTTTTCAGACACGTGTCAAGAAGCATCGATGGTATGGCAAGATAATGAAAACAAACAACCCACTCATCATATCGCTGGGATGGAGACGCTTCCAGACTATCCCTGTTTATTCAAAACTTGAAGATAACCTCAGGCACAGGATGTTGAAGTATACTCCGGAGCATGTTACATGTCATATGCATTTCTGGGGCCCTATTACTCCAGCAGGATCCGGTTTATTGGCAGTGCAGGACGTTGCCACGAGAGAGGTTTGTTGTTCAGTCCTCTCTTTTCACAAATTTTTTTTTTTTCTCATACGTCTTAGACAACCTTTTACACCTTAAAATCTGTTCCTCCTATCATTGAAAATAATTCTTTCAGTGAGTCTTTCAGTATCAATTTTTTCAAGGCGGATTGCTCTGTGGGTCTTCAATTTTCATCTTGAATTCGTTGTTCAGCTCTCTTTCTCACTAAAACTGAAACTGTCAAAGACAGGTACTTTCTGAAATATGAGTTATTCTGATAATCTCCTCTGTTAAGAATGTTTTAACTCGAGGCCAAATCTTGTAAATGTAAAATACTGATTTGAACTGAATATCAATTTGTGTCATTTGGCATTCTTCCCAGGTTTGCCATTCCAATCGTTGTTGAGGTTGAAATTTTTTGGGTCTTAAAAGTTGAAGTGTATCTTCATCCTTAATTTAACGGACTGTGTGATAAATAAAGTAAAATCAGTATTTTCATCTAATATGTTTTCATCAATTTTTGGCATCTTGATTTCGTCCAGCAGGCTGATTATTTACTTTCATAGATCTCGGCTGTAGATCTGCAAATCTCATCTATCGCGCATCTATGATCAAACTATTTGTGATTCTACACTGTGATTCTATCCGATGGATGAGCAATAGATCAGCAGAATTGGAATACAGTGTTGAACGATTGCTTTGAGATGAAAATAATCGTTCTAACCAATCAGACACCTTGATTCACCGAGTGAAGAAGAAGCGCGTAGGAAACCTAACCTCCAAATAGATCATTTATCGTGTTTTACTCAACTCCGTCTTATCAGCTACCGTGGCGCAGTGGATAGCGGCGTCGATATTCAGTCGCTACCAATCCGAGCGATGGTGGGTTCGAATCCCGCCGCGGCAATACCAGTCGGCCAATCAGAAGCACAGTTTTAATAGATGTCACCGCATCTACTGCCTTAGGGCCGGGGGATCCGCATCTATCAGTGCTGGATCTAGCTGGATCTATTGAAATTAGTTCTGAATCGCTCGGAATCTCTGTCTCATAGATCCGCAGCCCGCATCCATCAAGGTCAATAGATGAGGGAAGTAAATAATCAGCCTGCAGGACTCTTCTTGATAGATTACAGAAAATCACAAAAATACAGAGAAATCTTGTAGAACCTTTTTCTAAGTAAATAAAATATAGAAATAATCGGAAGATCAATTTTTCACTTTCTTTTAAATTTAATGAATTATTTGCTGATGCATTTATTTAATTTTTTTTTATCACAGCCTGGTTTTAGAATTGCACTCACTGGTTCGGTTGTGGACACCAATCAAACCACAAAAATCACCAAAAAACTGAAACTGACGGGAGAGGCAGACAAAATTTTCAAGAAGACAGCCTTCGTTAGCGGAATGTTCACGTCAACTCTAGAAGCTGCCAGATTCGAAGGTGCTAAAATTAGGACAGTCTCTGGAGTCAGAGGCATGATCAAGAAAGCTCTTCCAAAACCAGAGGGTGCTGTGCGAGCCACATTTGAGGATACCGTTTTAAAAAGTGGTAAGAGTCGATGAATTACAGGAAATGAAAGCATACCTAACGTTCAAATTTTAGGTGGTACTATGTCCTTGTATTTGTTATTACCCCTTTTTGGATGCGACATTGGCTTGCGCATTATGTAAGAGGAGCAATACTGAGACGCAAGCAGAGTCGGCCACCTTGTGAGAGGTAGTCCAAATATTGTGTCAGTCTCTAAGGAGAAAGTGAGGGAGTGTGATACTCCATCCTGTACCTCAAAATTAGGTTGGAAGCGCTAATTCTAATTCCAAAATTCTCGGCTGATTTTGTAAAAACTTTTAAAAAAATTACCAAGCAAGGAGGAATGGGAGAAGGGTCTAGCAAAGTTTAAAGTAATTTTTAATGGGAGAGGGAGGGTTGTTGACCTGTATGATTGCTGTGTTGTAGAAAGTAGAGGGAGTTTAAAATTCTGATATTCAATTAATTCATAGTTGCACGTAAGTTTACTTTGTCCATAATATCTTCCCAAAGGAGATCTGCGTTAATTCGATGCTAGAGAATTAATTTTTTAATATAAAAATCAAAATTTTCCCTCTAAATTTTTAGTTTCATTCAATTGAATCTGGTATGTGGTGTAATGGGAACCTGGAGCTTATTTTTTTTCTTCTTCTTCTTTTCTTTTTTTACCACTTCAAATAGCCCTCAAGGGCTAATCATGCGCTCTAGTCCAGTCCCCCTTCCGTCCTTACCAACCAGTCCCAGGCAACCATTGTTTGAGACCATCAAAATTCGGGTTGCCTGGCTGGGAATCCAACCAGGACCTCCCGATCGTAGAGCTAACGCTACAACCACTACACCATAGGCAGCCGACAGGAAAGTTTCATCAGAAAATTTTTCATTGAAAATTTAAAAAATATTAGGTAAAATGAGGAAATTAAAAAATTGTAGCTAACGTGAATCAGCAAAAGTTTAAGTCTCAATTCTCTGCTGAAACTCCTGTTGAAAACTCATCAGTTGAGTGAACTGATAATGTTCGAAAAATTCATTCTTACGATTGATTCTAAGAATTTTATTTTTCCCTTTTCTAGATATTATATTTTGTCGGACTTGGTACCAAGTTGAAGTGAAGAAATTCTACAATCCTGTCACATCATTACTTTTATCACCCGATGCGAAAAATGCGTGGAAGGGCATGAAAACGGTGGGAGAACTGAAAAGAGAACGTGGTATCAGGAGTGAGCCGCAGTACGATAGTATGTACACACCAATCAACAGAAAGCCCAAATTCTTCAAACCATTGAAAGTTCCTAAAGAGCTCAAAGCAGCTCTCCCTTACAAGGATAAAACCAAGGACTTCTACACTGGTCGCTCTAATTTGAAGAAACAGCGAGTTGCTGTAGTTCGCAATGAACATGAAACAGAGGTATTGTGTAGTTTATTTTTCTTCTCTTTTGTTACCATTTATGTAATCAGGGGCCAAAGTCTTAAAGAATATCAACATTTGTAACTGCCCAGAGAAGTACTTTACAAACAAATATTACAGTTATATTGCATTGTGGCTTGAAAAGTAGAATCCTGTTTCTGGGAAAACATTTCTAGGAACGTCATAACGAGATATGACTGTTGGATAACTTGAAGTTTGCTTTTTATTGATACGATATGGAACTAAACTGCTGCCAAATCACTCTTTGAATCATCAAAAAGTATTTTCTCGTGAACTGTCAAATTATGATTTTTGACTTTATAAATATAATTTATGAGGGGAAATTTTGCAGCGTTAAAATGTAGTTATGTCCCTTCATACAGGAGATTATGAACTGTGACTTCCCAAGACTTCAGATTTGTCAATGCTACATTCTCTGTGACCTTCTTATTTTCTTTGCTTTTGGTAGTCAATTAGTGCCTGAAATTGAGTTTACATTAATTTGTCTTGTTTTAGATTGCTGCACTAATGCGTAGAATATCAACAAATTACAAGGAAAAACGGAAAAAGCAGCAAGAAGCCACCCACGCTCGAATTGAAGCATTGAAGAAGAAGAAACAGGCAGAGGAACTGAAGGCACTTAAAAACCAGAAGATAATGAAGAAGAAAATCTTCACTATTCTTGGAAAAGAAGAAAAGAAGAAACAACAGAAAGAAGCCCGATCCAAGCGCTAGTTTGTCTTTCAAGTTTTTTTAAAATAATTTTCGCATTTTATTTCATAAGTATTTCAATTTTAAGTTAGTGTTTTTTTTAAAAAAAAATAAAAAAATTGTTAAGACTGGAACTATACAATTTTTTGGTCCTTATTTTACATAGAAGAAATGTCCAGGTAGCTGTCTTTTTTGGCAGTTGCGATACTCTTTCAAAAAATCTCCATAGTGCCTATGCCTATTTCTTTTCCATGATTTCATATCCAAACATATATTATAGCGCTTATGAAAATTATTAGAATTGCAAGATACCAGCATTATTGTAAACGCACTATATAGTGTTGATAGCGTTGTTGATTGACTGAGTGTTTACTTTTAATAATAACAAGTTCATTGAAAAAAAAAAAAGATAGATGGCATAAAAGAAAATGCAGACAAATTTGTTTTAAAATCTAAATGTATTTGAGAGATCTTTGGTGCTAGTAAGTAGATGATAACTTGTGTCTATTGTTTCCATTGACATGAAAGAGATATATAACACGGAAACAGAATACTGAGAAACATTAAAAGAATATAATGACATGTTTAGGAAACAGAAGAAGGAGTTTGATGCATACAATCTTGCGGCAGTATGAGATGAGTCAATTGAGGCCCTCAGTGAATCACAGAAGTGACTTGTTTCAGAAAATATATTGAGTGATGTGTGATATTGAAACAATTTTGCTTTGAGGTAAGCCTCCCGAAGAGATTAAGTGCAAAACTTAATTTTTAACTGTATAAAGATAAACTCGGATTTCGCTTCTCTCAAAATCACAGAAATGTCACTGTCTTCATTCACCAAGGACCTCGATTGTGCATAGTAGCTAATCTAACCTCGAAAATTAGAAGTGACAAAGCAGTCTGATACTTAGACTGTAGGAGACACTATATTAGTCAGGAGCATAATCAAATACAATCATATGAAAATTGAACACAGAAAGTTGCAGGAGAAACAGTGGGTCAATTTCCTGCTGCAATAAACCATAACGTTGATTTGATCAAAACTTTGGTTGAATTACGAGTGATTTTGGTTTCTACAAAGAAGAAATTCCTGGTGTTAATCATATTTAAGAACCAACAAATCTTGACATTTAAGGTCATTTGAGAGAAGATGGGTGATTTTATTTATTAATTTAATACATAAATTGAGAGGAGGGAGTTGAACACTAATGACTAATTAATCAAATGGTATTATACAGTCAAGGGCGTACAGAATCATGTTTTGACGGTTGAGTCTTAAAGACAGGCATTCAAACTGATTGCCTGCTAAAGTAAATATGAACACATTTAAAACAAAACTGATTTACATCATAAATAACTAAAGAATTCTTTTCCGCCAAACCTACACAGGGCAATCATTGTTTTCAGTTAACCACTTCCTAACAGTAAAAATCTTGAGTCAAGATTTGAAAACTTCAAAAGATTATCAGCCTATCATAGAAAAAAATAATTAAAATTGGCTCGGAAGATCTCTTGATACAGCTTGAACGAAAAATTAAAATTTGAGGAATCAAAAAGCTTACAATATTGATTATATTGGTTTGTACACGCGTGAAGGACCATCTGAAAAAAGGGCACTTGAGAGGCATCTAGTGTTACTAAGAAATAGAGCTTCGCCGTTCTTTCACTACAAAATAACACTTCCTATGACACGAAAATTTCAAGAAAAATGTCTCTGATTGACAGAGAAACACACCGAAAGCTGCCTGATCTTGGCCTGATTAACAGTTTCTTGGCAATGTCAAAAAAACATGTGATCTTTTCCCAGATGGGCAATGTACCCAGATTTTTCCCACTTTGATCTTAAATGAGGGATGAATTGAAATTTTAACTGTTGGATCCACAACCATCATTGATATGCCCAAGATCTAAACGACCAAAGTGTACACTGACACATATGAGGGCAATACTCCCGTTTTCACTGGATACAAAGGCTTGGAAATTTGGTCGGCCTTATAATTCCTAGTAAATCTATAAGAGTCATTCGTCAAAATGAGATTCTGTGGCACATTTGACCCACGTATTAAGCATGTTGTAACCGTTGGATTCTCCGTGGCAAGAGATGGCAATATGGCTCATCAATTCTTTGTAAACTAAGATGATTAGTCGAGAGAGTTCTTCAGAAAATTCTGAGCATTGAAAATCAAGGTGGGAGGATTGAAAGACTAAGAATATGTGCGTTGTAAGATGGAATTCACAATGTTTTAAGTACAGCTATTTTGGGGGATTTTGTCAGTCAAATTTCTACAACGAGAGGAAGGTGCCTAAAAATTATTCAAAGCTGCACTAAAGTGGTTACATACTTGAGAAGCAGAAATTTTACTAAAACGTAAGAATAATAAAGAACTTTTCATTAAAAATGTGAGCAAATAAAAAATAAAGGAACCTTACGTAATTTTTCATAAAAGCAGAAAGGACGTTTCAAAAATTTTACGAACAGAGTAGCCTCAGGAGATTAGTCCATGCGGTTCACTGTATTTATCACAACTTGGATATTAAACATTAGACTTGGAGATTTGGGAATTATTTTTAGGTTAGTTTCTCCTTTTTATGTGCTTATTTAATCTTTTCACATTAGATATCAAAGATCCATTTTTAAGAACTTTTACAAACAATTTTAAAACTGGGATAGTACAAGAAACCACTCCACAGTTTGAAGTTTATACAAATTGACATTAAAACTAAACATAAATACACTTGAAAAACCTGACATTAAATTTACAGTGTTGCTTGATGAGAAAAAAATCATAATGACAGTGAGACTGAAAACGTGTATCTCGGTCTGCGACGCTGTAGGTTTCCTGTCATAATTTATCTCTTGGATAGAAAAAATTTTTCTTCTTAGTGTGAGGAATATTTTAAGTTTCGAGCAGAAGTGTTGACTCGTTTTCCTAAGGTAAGCTAAAATGGGAGCAGCGGAGATTTTTTCACATCCCCAACAGGATAAGCGTTTTTGCAGTTTCACCGTCAATATTTGCTTTACGTTAAATTTTTGTTGATCTTAACAGAACCATTTAAAAAATACACTTCATGTGAACAGGAACTTTACACAATAACTACTAAAATATTATACTTCAACTAATTAAAATTTAAATTATACTTCCCCTTGAAACAATTTTCACTTACTTGGATGTAAAGGATCTTAAGTGTGCAGAGTTCAAGGAGGAAGCAGCATTTCCTTCACTTTCTAGAATTTGTTTTACTAAATTCAGGCACTTACCACGAATGTAAAACTATTCTACTTGAAATGAATCAGACAAAAGTTTGGACGAATAAAAGTTATGATCTTTTGATCGTGAGTGCTACATTGAAAAAATACTTGTACCTATGATTGATATGTGGCTTAGAGGGAAAATATCACTAACTGAATTTGTGTTGAAATTGACAGGAAAAAAAGGCATGAAAAAATTTGTGCAAAGTTACTCGAAGTTCCTTCAAAATTCTCAGATCTGCTGAGTCTTTCGCTTTGAAACTGGCAGTCTCCTTACCAAGAAACTACAATAAATAAAAGGCACAATATTCATTATACCTGAAGTTGCACTTTTTTAAAACTTGAGTCAGATGAATCTCTGGTCTTTCTGAATGAAGCCGTTTTTGAAGAATGTCGCTCCACCTTAAGAATATCATCATTGGTGCAATGAATGATTCAGGCGCGATTTCATAGGTCTGGGAAAATGCAACTTCAAAAAGTCTCGCGTTTTCCTACATTGTCAGAAATTCAAACTGATCAAAACAATTTTTCTCAAGGCATGTTTGTAAGACACTAAATTGAATATTTTAAGACACTGACATAAGAAGCACTTTATAATATCAAATCATAGTAATTTGTTTAGAGGGTGTCATAAGGGCTGTTATAACAAATCCTTGCGGATAAACTATCAGTACCCTCAGTTTTCTTTATTTTATTCTACCGATAAACTCTGATACTGTCAGAAACAATTGGCCGTACTAGAACTGCAAGTGCTCTGATTTTGAGCTTTGTTGCACCAACTTTTTGTGATTGGAATTGCACACAGCCTACAAAACAGATGTACAAGAAAACAGCTGAGTTTCGGCAACTTTGGAAACTCAGATTTTTATCGGTGACCCTTCATTGTTACTAAATTACTACAGACTTTGGATTGAAAATACCTTAGAAGTGCATCTAAAAATAAAATAGCACAATCTGTGCTGTCATCAGATTTTAGACTAAAATTTAATTAGATCAGGTGTTCTTGATAAAAATGGCTAACATTGCGTAATTTTTTACATAAAGGAACAACTGCAAAAAGATGAGCAATTTTTGAATTTCAATTCAAAATTTGATACTATGGTTAATAAAAAAATCAGAAAGCGGTGGTTTAGCGGTAAAAAAAAAAAAAAAAAAAAAAAAAAAAAAAAAAAAAAAAAAACCACAAGTCTTTTCTGCAAGGAGAGAGCATCACATTCTCTGAAAGTCAGCCTTTGAGGCTTTTTGAAGTTAAAATATACTCTTGCCAGATTCCAGTGGATAAAACAATAAGAAAATCAGTTTTTAACACTATAATTACCTAACCTATTGAGAAACAGTGAGTGAAAATACTGATATGTATGGAGAGGTACAAGATGGGCCCTAGAGATGTACAAGTGAGCCCATTGGGCGCATTTAACTAGAGGCAGCCTGACAACATCAGACGTTGAATAGTTTCTTCTGATATTTCATTTTTTAAACGGAAAACAAAGCAATCCTGGAACTTGAAATTTTGTGAGTATTGATAATATCTAGGGTATAATAATCTAGGGTAAATTCACAGAAATTTCAAATGCGTTTTGTAGTTTAGTTCTCCATTGAAAAATCAACCATGAGAGAAAATTAGGAGACAAGAAAGCAGATATGCTCATTATAGGTCAAAATTAAAACAAAATAACAATTAAAACAAATCGGAGAATAGACAAAAAGTTGTCTTTTTTCGATTCGGAGTGGCAAATAATTCTTGATAAAATACCTAGTTGTGTAAAATGTGTCCAAATTTGTGGAGTAGAGCATAGTAATGAAACTAGAAAATATTTTCAGTGGCTCCTCTCTTTGGAAAAGAAAAATTATAAAAAAATTAAAGATAAAGCGACATAATATTCACTAAAAATTTGGGCTTTTCCTTGTGTTTTTTTTAAAACAGGAGATACTTCAGAGAATATTTTTTTGTGTTGAATCTAAAATATATAATTGGTTTTTTTTGAGTTAAGTTGCAGGATGAAAGCCATTGAAATTTAATCTTTCAATAGGATAAAAAATAAAAATAATTTTAAGAGCAAGTGCCCTGCATTTAACTCGACACATCTGAGATAATTCACGATTCAATTTCGTTTCAGACCCGCATAGAAATTTAACTTTAAAAATAGTGCATTTGCCTTTGGAAAATATACTAAAATTTGTATCACATGATAGAGAGCACTTACTTGAACTTTTTGAAAACGAAAAATCTTTTGATGAGCATTTTCAAGTTTTTAAAATTCTGTTCAAAAGGCAGTTGAGATACTGCTGAATTGCTGAAAAAGCCAAGTAGAAACTCTCAGCTAAGACCTGAAACTTACGTTGTAGTTAATTTCAAAAGTTGAAGTGATGTATGTTCGTGCAACCATGAAGCAGAAACTCAATGAAATATGTTCCTGATGTGTTCAAACTTTTTAACTTTTGGATTAGATTGTGATTTCATAAAGTACAGCACTTAATTATAGTATCGATTCGGACCAGATTTAAATAACTTATATGTGGTAGATTCGTGAATCTTGAGCATCTTACAGCATTAAATTTTTCGATTACTGTAAAGTGACTAGAATGTAAATTGAGTAAGTACAAAACGTAATACTGCAACTGCTGAGAAATTAAGAAAAAAAAATGCAAAGAATAATAAAAATCCTTGAGTCCTTTCCGGAAGAGGCAGAAGGAACATCTAATGTCGATGATAAAATTACTGGGTAAATGTCGAATCGTTTCGTGAGTCTTGGAACAACCAAAATATCTGAAAGCACAGAGACATCCTGTTAATACATAGATAATTCAAATAAGGAATAAATTTATAATGGAAAATCTTGATTTAATGATCTGTTAAATTAATTGAAGACTTCTCTGAAGGTATTTTATTCGGAAAATGTTAAACTTAGAGAGAAAACGCAAATTTTTCTTTTTTAAAGCTCACCAATCAGAGTATTTTCAGGTGAAACGGCATTTTTAATTAAGAGTATTTTTAATTTCATCAAGTGCCTTGATAGCAGAGTTATTTACAACCTGATGAAAAGACATGATTCTTGCAGCAGAAAGATTTTTTTTTTTTTTAAAAAAAAAGATTTTAAAAAAAAAAACATGCACTTTTTGAAGAATTTTTAAGGATTCTCCAAGACCTTTTCCTTTAATTTTTCCTAAGCGCCAGTTTTCTTTCCATGGTGCGATTTTTAACAATAAGAGTTCTGTCAGTTTTTGCCCTTTTTTTTTGTTCAAAGCTCACCCATATGGTAAGCTCTAAGGTTGCAAGGACACGGAGTTCGAAAGAGGGGAACTAAAAAGTACAGCATGATTAATTTAACCTTTCACTAAATGTCATTGGTGAATGTTTGTCATTAAGAAAAACAAAGTATTTGACAATCAGTGGTTTGTTGGGAATTCATCGCAGTTTACGAATGATATCACAATGCTTTACTATTCCTTGACAGCAAACATTTCCTGATGAAAATTAGTACAGAGTGAAATTCGAGCACTTTTTAAGCACCTTCCAAAAAGTCAAACACATACAAGACCTTGAAAAAATGTTTGAAATGAAGCTCTTTTTAGACTGTACAAATCTTGAGAGAGTAAAGGAAATAATATTGGCCGCAATAATACAAAATCAGCTTATCTACGAGGGAACATTTAAAAAAATTGTATCCATTCAAGGAATGACGTGGATCCTAGGACTGAAATTTTAGAGACTGGGTTAGGCAAAATCTAAGATCAGGCAATGATATGAATAAAGAGCAGAGCAGCGAGTAAAATTAAATCAGCTTAGAACAGATAGAGAGTATTTCATTGTGTGACCATGCACATAGACTTGTTTCACAAAATTTCAAGTCAGAATGACATTATACAGAGTATCTACTAAATTCCATTTTGGATTTTCCTGATATTTTAAATGAAATTTCCTGATTTGTGGCGCAAAAACTTTACATACGTTTGTTTTTACAAACCAACTTATTTGATGAATTGAATAAAATGTTTCACTTTAGTATGGTGCTAGACAGCATGTGGTAGAGAAAAGTTTGACGCACTTGGAATTTTCTGATCCAAGACCGATTTTCCTGACATTTTTTTTATTTTTCCTGATGACATCGAATTACCTGATATTTTCCAGTTTTTAATGACGGTAGACACCCTGATTATGGTAAAGTTTATCTGCAAAAGAGTTAAAGTTCTCAACGTTTTTGGCTTCTAATGAAGTCTTCAGTGATTATTCCGAGCTTCTAGTTTCAGTGCACCCCTCCCTTACTCCAAGTGTATCCATATCTAGCATCAGTCCTAATACGAAACTATTGTGCATTTGTCCTTACTTATAAGCACTAATGTAGGTGTGCACAAATTGTCATCTCCCGCATGAGTGGACATATCTCAATGGCTCGCTTTAGTATTTCTGATGTACTTACATTTTATTATCTTATAGCAGAGCTGTCACATGAAATTTCTGGAAATTTTTCTTTCTTCTCGTGAAAAAAGACACGGGAATTTTTTGACTAATTTGTGGGACGGCTTTCCAGGTAAAATAAAACGTTTGTAGAGCATAGCATGGACAAGATATGTTACTTTGTACGAGAGACGACAAAATGTACCCAATTCACGCAGTGATAATTAGAGCAGAAGGATTGAACAAACATTCTTAAATACGCACTGAGTTATCCTTACCTTTATCGACTGACGAGCTCATTAGTCGCAAGCTAATTTCCCATCAAAACTGCTTAGAGCAATAGCAAAAGCTTGAAGAGCGCAGAGAGGGTAGCGGTAATCCATGGTAAAAACGTCCTCCGAGACGCGCCCAAATTGCATTATTATATAATCAACTGAAGAAAGAAAAAAAAATTATTCCAGTGAAAAACTTCTAAGCTCAAAACTAAAGCATGCTTTAGAGTTGAAAAAGTTAAGTAATTAAGTTTTCTCTCTTCTTGCTCTTTCGAATTGTGCCAGGGAGGAGTATTTCCTTTAAAAAGTTGATACCGCAGTGTTGTTCATACAGGTTTCAACTAACATCACAGTGTTAGTCTTGTAAAAATTAATGAAAAAGATTGAAAATTTAAAAAATTAAAGTTAGGATTCTATTTGTATATTTTTTTGACACCACACTGGTCACAGGTCAAGCAATTTCAAAAGATTTCAAGGATCAGTGATATCACAAGTGCATTTCAAATCAGCCAGTTGGCAGCAGTGACAGATCCAGGACATCAGCAGAAGCTGTGGCGCTAGATCATACTGCGCTGCAAGGCCTTCGCCAATATCAAAAATTTCAATATTTTGAAGCGCAGCATGGACATTTCCAAGAGACTTTTCCTTACAGATATCATTTAAGAAATCCTACTGAGCTTGAAGAAGGGAAAATAATAAATCTTCGATTCTCGCCTCTCAATTCGGTCTTTAGTCTTGTGCTCCATGAATAACTGCCTTGATTTTAGAAATAATCCTGCTCTAAAGGGTATAAAAATTTCCTTCAGTCCCGCATCTTTCATAACGTTTGAAGCAATATACTACTAAGTTGGACAAGAAAGAGAACGCTCGTCGTTTGACGGACTTTAATTTTAAAAGCAGCATGTACAGGGTGGACACAGAAATTTAGGATTGGCATCACCGAACTTTCTCAGGTTTTTTTTTTTTTTTATCAAAATGGAGGAAATTCTTGGAACCCAGAGTTTTAGGACAATGTGGAATGTGTGGATTTTAATTTTGAGATTTTTACGATACAGCTGCAATGTGTCTTCTCTCTCTTTTAGAATGATAGAGAGGATTTTAAATTTTTCTTTCTTTTTCTAAGTAGTTTTTCAAAATTATTGATGGAACTCTAGTCTGGTTCTTTCAAATAATGTTTAATTTATCATCACAATTTCGATAGCTAACCAAAAAAAAAAGCCTTACTAGATAGCATAAATTACTTGGAGAAAGAAAGTTTGAGAGAGAAAAAACCAAAAAAGGACTCACCATCACTATCGTGCACAATTTGAAAGTTCTTTACAGATGCTTGTGTCACTCTGCCGTGAAAATTCAGGACATATGACTGTGTATCGTCATTCCATGACGGCGTTTTGTTGTGTAACTCGATTAAGTCATCCATGTTTTTAGTGCGCCAACATTCTAAAAAGGAACGCAGAAAAAGGAGGAAAATAAGCATTCGTCGTTTTCAGTGAGGAAGGGATCATTTCCAAATGCGTATTTGAAAAATTATTGTTACTGATGGGGTTATAAAGAGTAACCTAAAAATCTTTCTGGCTAAATGTTATTTCGACTGAAGTAATCTTAGGATGTACCAAAAATGTTCTCCACAGAAAATGTAGCGAGCGAATTAGATTTAGAAAGTCCTACTCTCGTATACTAAAGTGTGATCCAATCCTGCCTAACCTTCTTCAATCTAATTGAACAGGGGATGGTGGTTCATTTTAGATAATAAAAGGCCTGACATCTTTTCAAAAAAGTCCAACTTCCTGAGAGTTTTCTTAGTTCATAATTTTTTGGGGCCAAAGAGACCAAAATTAAGCATTTACCCTTTACACAAAATCGCAAATTTCGTAAGTGCCTTACTTCCCATTAGGTTTGCAGTCATTTCTTTTCTACTAAAGTTCGCCATATTTTCCAGAAAAATTTACAAAAAAATTTGCATGCAATGAGCAAACTTTCCATGCTTAGTAAAAATATCCAGACAGACCTCATAAATGTGGTACTTTAGCCTGATTTTCTTGACATGTCAAACCAATAGACACCCTGGAAAGTCCAAGGTAAGGGGAATAAATTTTGTGAAATCTGTCTAAAAACCTGAAACCTGGAAATCTGTCGTATGCGAAATTAACTGTACCTAGTAAGGTTTCAGAGTTGTCCTCGGGTGTTATCTGAATTCTCTGATGGTCCTGCGTCATGCCAGGAATAATAACAGTCATCTTACGAGGTCCTTTGAAGCCTAAAACATTTGTGTCCTGTAAAAGCAAAAATAAAAATGAGACTATGTCAATGTTACCAATGTCAGCATTTAAAATAAGAAAAACATTTAAAAATAGCACTTAAGGTACTGAAAATGATTTCCATTTCATACCAAACTAAAAAAAAAAAAAAAAAAAAAAAAAAAAAAAAAATTCTAAAATTATCAGTGCATGTTAAGAAAAAATTACCCGACTTGTTCCATTCCTCGATTAAGATGGACTACTTACTAGCTGATTTTCTTTAATTGAGTTTTGATACTTACATAGCAAACTGCAGCTAGTTCTTGGCGGGGATAGACTTGATCCCTATCATCTTTTGAATACGGTTTCTTGGGTGAATGACCATTATCGTAGACTGTGAATTGAGTTCCCAACAGATTTGACCTAAGTTTACCGATGTAAGATTCTCCTCCTCTCGAAAGATCTGTTGGGTCCGTTGATATTAGGTAGTTTGAGGTGGCACTTTTTTTCCTCTTGCGACCGGCAAGAAGGAATATCTGAAAGAAAGAAAAAACCACAAATGAGCTGTGAAAAGGTGATGCAATTTAACATATACAAAACTCTAATATCAGGTCAAGGTTTGAAGATTTACCTGGGTTCAAGAAAAAACTGCAGTAAAATCTTAAATCATTGCCGGATGGACCACTAGACAAAGAGCGAATATAAACATTGTTATAATGTATTTTCCCGAACAAGATGTCATGTAGAGCATGATTTGAGCGATGAAAATTATTGAAGGTAAATCATAACAAAGAAATTAACACTTTTCACAGCATGAATTTAAAAAATCTGCACATAAAAAAACCATCACCTACTTGAGTTAAATCGTACTCCAAACTTTATCTAAACATTCGTTGTAGTATGAAAATATGGCAACATCGATTTTGATGCTTCAGCTCAGCTATTGGAAATTTTTAAACTTTCAACAACAGAGGAGAGGAACACTGTTATGATTAAGAAGCCTCTTAAAACTGTTGTAGGGCTAGAATTGATTAACGTCGACTCAGGTTTGTCTTGTAGGTGAGAAATTCAATTTTATTGTAAACCAGTGCTGAATAAAAACGTTAATATCTGGGTTAGGAGTCAATTTCAGTGATTTTCATTGGGCAACTTTTGTTCTATAAGAAATTGTAAAGAGAAAACATAGATCACAATTCTTAATTTTGTACTTTATCTAATGGTCCATTTCCATGTTCAAACACAACCAAGCAAATCGCATCCATCCTGTCTGATTGACAGTATTAATGTTTAATACTTTGAGCAGTATGCATACTGTGCGGTACAGTAACAAATATACATTGAATTCAATTTTTAATCAATCTTTTTATTCTTGATTATTTCAGAGGGGTAAGTTGTGTGCAAGTTCCTCACACTTCAATATCCTCACCAGGAACTGCTTCACTCGTTGACAACTTTTTTGACAGAAAATAATTTAATTTTGCCTTTACCTTTTTGCCATAGTCTCTCTCTAGATGTAAATAATAAACAGGATAAAATCCTCCATCAACTCCTTTGCGATCCCTGGTAATCCGACATTTGTAATGAACTTTTTGGCATGCAGGTTCTAGAACAAATGTATCCAAGTTCCCGACGATGTCGCCTTCCGCTTCAATACACTGAAAAAAGGGGGAAACAATAGAAGTTATGCAGAATAAACAGAGGCGCCTAGAATATAAGATGTAAGAGAGCACAAATAAACAATGATTGAAAACTGAAATGGCAATGATGACCTCTCCAAAAAGGCGCAAAGAAGTGATAAGCTTTACAGCCAGATTATTCTGAATGTTACAAAGAACTCAGTTTGACGACATCTTTTAAGCATAACTTACTAGGTATGAAAGTCTTTCATGGAAATACATTTTCAAATCTAGCTATTTCACCTAAATGTAGAGAACAGTGATACTTCAAAGGCTAATGTTTAGGAGTGGACCTGTAATTTATTTTTTGAAAAAGACTCTGGACAGAAAAAGAAATTGGATTGAAAGAAAATTAAAAAGTAGAAAAACTTGATTATTACTTATATTTTTCTATTATTGATTAACGGGAGAAGAATTTATTTCACGTAAGAGGTTTGAGGATCCTTTAATTGGACCTCTTTTTGATCACTAGCGGTGCATCTTGATGAGCCAATAGAGGGTACAAACAAAAACGATACTGTCAGATTATACATTGCTGGCTCGTGTTGTCATATTGACCTTACTTCATTCTGAAATGAGTACTTATACATAAAATTATTACTTGTAAAGCATTGATTAAAAAGGACTTCACTGTTTCATTGAAAAATATTTTGAACATGGGGGTCTTTTAACGACACTAATTTTAGAGGGCACACTCTACCAAGCTAATTTTATATTAATCATGAAATTTGTTATTCGTCCACCGGACAAGACAAGACTAAGGTAAAATAAAGATTGGTAGGCCTTTTTGTTTCTTGATCAGGCCAGATAATTGGTAAGCTGAAAGTGCCTCTTCGGTGACCGACAACCAATCGATTATCATCAACCCCTTCCTCTCTCTTATTTGTTGTGCGCTAGAGGCAAAAAAAAGAGGGCACAAGATCAAAAATCGAAAAATCTGTCGGCTCAAATAACTCTATTTCATCTTCTCTCATTCAGTCAAAAAACAACAAAGTTCAACAATCAGCCAGCAGTTGATATTGATGAGACTTACATCTGAGCTTTTAGAGGAGGCATTCATCTCAGGTGAGACGAGTGAATTAACATTGTCTGTGCTGTCACTAGCCTGGCTAATATATCCAATTGGTGTGGATTCTTCATCTTCAAGATCGAGCTCTTGGGAAATCGATTGGGCGCCTAGGATTGGGTCTCCCACCCTCATAGTTGATTCTTCCAATAGATCTGAAATAGAAAATCAACACAAGCATTACACCTTCACTGATTCAACATAACAGACTCAACACTTGGAGTAGAAAATCTAAAAGCAGTATTTTCACAGATCATGCATAATTTTAGCGAGTTTATAATAAAGATGTGATTGACACCTAAGAACCCTAGTAAAAGTGAATCAGCCTGACGTCAGGCTATGTTCCATAAAGTACCCTGAGTCAGACTAAAAAAGAACACCTGAAAAAACTAAAAAGAACTTGACTGATGTCAGCCTGAAGTCTGACTCAGGGTAGTTTATGAAACATAGCCTGACAACAGGCTGATTCACTTTTACTAGGGGAAAACCGCTATTTAATAATTAATAGTAGACCTTGACTATTGCTGTCTGTCAAAAAATAGGCCAAAACAATTACACAATCTTGAACCAGTCTTGAACAGGATGAAAATGAGACTTGCAATAATACGGGTACACAGCTTGGGCCACTTTTTTTATGCTGCTTTGATACCAACACCTAAAACACTCACACAATGACTGGATGTAATTAACACATGCAAGAGCTCAGTTCTCAGAGTTATGCTTACTGCAGACAAGCTAAGGACCATGGATTGTATTGAACGAAAGTTCTTGGATTTATTACCGCTTCAGGAGTCATCCATTTACTCTGCATGATCAGCTCACGATCAAATTATTTTAATTCCAAAAAAACACTTGTAGACCAAAGAAACTCCAAAGTAGCAACTGAAAATTTAAACACCAAGGTCTCTAAGAGGTTGCGTCCAAACCCTCTCAGATTTCTAGAGGTATCCAGGGCAAAAACTGATCTCAACAGCATACTAATGCTATCTTTAATGTCCTTGAGGCACTTAAGTTTTTCATTTTCGAGGATGATAAGAAATTACCGTAATCCATGGAGATACTCCGTTTGGGAACAATTATGTCGCTAGAGTCAGGACTTCCGTGCATCATAGAGAACTGTAATGGTCCATCGTATCCTGAAACCACAGAATATTGTTATTATAAAATAAAATCATGAAAGAATAGAAACTGAAAACATGGATTGATAAGGCTAAAAACTAAAGATAAGACTGAACATTTTGACCTTGCTTTCCCTGCAAAACAGTGTGGACCTAGCACTCTTTTATCTTTTTGCAGAGGCTAAAAATACATACAACTGCAAAAATGGATAGGTATCTAGGTTTGCATCGCTGATGACTTTCTAGCATGATTTTTTTTGTCTATGGGAAAAAAAAAGAAAGCCATTTCTTTAAAACTTTCCCGATTATTCTTCTCTGGGTACAGAATTTTCTATGAAAATTTTAAGCAATGGCGTCGACTTTTTCTCCTTTAATGAAAAATGGGAGCAGAAATTTTGAAGCTCTGCAACTGAGATATAAGCTTTTGAAGTTTCACCAATGATATGTTGAAGATAGAAGCAAGGCAAGCACCTTCTGGGCAGATTAAAATTATTTCGACGCTGCATATGATTAATTTAATTACCGTAGAGATTGGTCTGAGTAAGCAAGTGTCTTCCAACTGTTAGATTTTTGCAGAGAAAGGTTTCGATATATGGGTTGCCTGCACACCTTCCTTGATTTTAATAGTGTCAAAGTGGCCACTATGTTGCCGTTGATGGTCTGTCCATTAAATTCCAGTAGTTGTGTTGTAACTGAGATTGGGTCAGCACTCAATTTTTTATAAATTCACTTGTTTGATTTCCTTTTTGCCGCTGAATTTGAGCCTGGGATAGCTTATAATATCCTTTTTTTAAAGTCTTTATCTTCAAAGCTTTGCACGTCCATTATTTATTTTACACTTTCTCATGATCTTACTTTTGGACAATGCAGTTAGCAAATTTTTGAACAGAAAAGGACAGGCTACACACTTGCAGAACGTTCTTTAGAGCAAACATTCATACAGATTTAAAAATGTTTTATTTGAAAATTTTCTCACTAGATATGCAAAACGCTCAAGAGTAAATATGGAAGGAGCCAAAAAATGTTTGAAAACCAATCATTTTGCTGTTTTGTTCTCATTTTCTGCTAAGAAATTTCCTTATGCGAGGTGGAAGCAGCTGTGCCGGTAGGATAAGACAAGACAAAGCCCTAAGTATCTGCACCATTGCTTTTTGTTGCCTAACAAACCAAGTAAATTTCATCAGCCTGCAGGTATCCAACATCAAAGTGGCATCTTAGACAGGTGAGCTCACACCGCGGCTGAATATTAGTTCCTAAAAAACTCAACTTCAGGCACTCATTCGTAGTATATTGAAACAAGAGTCAAACCTAGTTCATAATGACACTTATCAATAGTGCCTGCAGCCCGATCATAACTTTTGGCTGTTCCATTAAAAGCAATGAAACAGGTCCATTCCATAGGGTAGAGCGGACTCATCGTATGTTGAGAAAAAAAGTCAAGTATTGTTTAGGTCACCACTCATCAGTGGTGCCATCTGACTGCATGTATTATCCTGTTGAGTGGTGCTACTTTTGAGATGATCAGGGATTGACATTTGTCTCAACATACGATTGTAACGATGAGTCCGCTCTACTTCCTTGTGGAACAAAGTTCCATTCCATTAATATCAATAGATGTGAAAGTCTGGTCGGACTGCTGTAAAATGTATGCAAGTATAAACCTTTTGAGAAGAGCTGATTCAGGTGTAATCAGGAATGGACTTTTGTACACATATATAATGAATGAGCAGTGCTTTGATGCTAAACTTTTTGATCTGAAGTGCAAATGGAAGAGCTTTCCAGGAAAGTTAAGGCGCGAGATTCACCGTAGTAAGCATGCAGTTACAGTAAGACCTTAGCAATGTGCACATTTTTCAAAGCCAAGGAATCAATGAGAGTAAGACTGATAACCCACCTCGAAGTTCTCTCCCTCTACTACCAGATATTGGTCGCATGACTTTTCCTTTTGCGTCTGATGCTTGGATCATACCAGGGGTTTGTCTCTTTTGGCGCATCTTCTGTTCCAGCAGCTGTCGCTGAAAACAAAAACTTCTGTGAGTAAATTCCTGACAGAGATGATAGAATTACATTCTATGGCCAACCATAGAAACATTTGTAATAGTGATATGCAAACACTCTCCCTGATGCGCAGGTTAAGACCACAAGAGACATAAAACACAGATGGTGCTGCAGGCCAAGTTGTGTTTTCAGAGTAATTAGTTCAATATACACACTAAGATTCAGATGTTTGATAGTGAAAGCCGCAAAATTACCTGCTGCTCCAATTTCTGTTGACGCAAATTCATTGAGGTCATGATTCAGTGGAGAGCTTACTGCACGAACTACGAACTATGAACTGCACGATCCTCCCCGGTTGTAGTTCGTTGAAAATGGTACGGATAACCGAAGTTGAACAAACTCTTAAATTATTATACCCGAAAACGACATAATATAAAACTTCATTATCAGTCAACGCGTATTTATGACAAACAGTGGTAGGAAATTAGAGTAAGTAAAGATCGTAAACAATAGAAATTTTGTCTAACGAACAACGTGAGGGGAATGAATGGAAGGCAGTTCAAGGCAGGAAATCCTTGATGATAACGTTGCCATATTGATGACGCAGACCGGGCATCGTCTATGTCACTATGGTGGTAATTAGGCGCGCAATTTGAAAATAAAAAATTAATTCGGATAGACTTCATAAAGTTCATAAATTCAATTGCTAAATCTTGTCTCTGGCTAAATCGTTCCGTATTTCAAAAAGGTTAGTGCAGACGCACATCTAATGCGCCAAAAAAGTTTCTGCGATCTGGATCACTCAACATTTCATTATGAAAGGGATTTCTGCATGACCGCCAAGTTTCTTAGATCAACAGCTGTCATAGTGCGCTGATGAGTTATGATTGATGATTCATCAAAAAGATGAATTCTGGAATTTGGAATGGACCTGCAAGAAGGGAAACCCCCCCCCCCCCCTCGGACAAAAGTTCTAAATCTGATTTAAAAAATGACTTGAGGCTTTGGGCCAGGGATATGGTGGGTGCTGAAACCCCAGTTACATTGTGAGCCATACTTCGTGACAATAATCATGAAAATTCAATCAATAAAAAAAACAATTTAAAAAATAGAAGCTCCAGTACTAAAACTAAAGGCTTCGATTATTGTCCGATAATACTTCAGATGGAAAAAAAATGCATCCATGGGATGCTACCTAGAAAACTGTACACTTCTGCTCTTCAATGCCAGTAAGCGCCTCAGTGCTTCATCTAATATTGCACTTCAGGGAAGCTCTTCTTCAACCTACTGAACGGGTCACTTGATTTATTAAAGTCAATGGTGGTTCACTTTTCCATACTTGTAAGGAAACACAGGAAATTCCATCCCACATTTCTTAGAAGAGGTATGTAATCATTACAATATAGTTAGTGATCATTATTATGAACTGACTAAAGGAGGCAGGGACTTGTTGAAGGAGGAGCGTACTGGACGGGAATTCTGGTTTTGAAGGTGGCAAAGCTCAAATGGTGATCTTGTCAAGGGGGCAAAGAGGGGTTGAAGTTAGCAGTTATAATTGCTTGAGCTTTCTCTGCCCTGAAATAACACAATGCCACTGGCATTTTGCTTAAAAATACATCCCTGGCAGGTAATTTCGAATTTTCCTTGATTGATGAATCCTACCCATTCCTTAAAAACAAATATTACCTGCGCATCAACAAATTTTCAGGATTGACATCTTGGCAATGAGTCGCTGGTAACGAGTGCACATTAGTTAGCTGCAGCTTTGAGTCGCACGGTTGTTAGATAAATTAGGCCTACATTTAATCCTCTGTTGGAAACTCACTAAGGACTACAAAACTTGACTATGCGTAGGAAAGATTTGGAGTAAGATCATTCTGGTCAAAGGTAGACCCTGCAAACTGTACATACCATTCCTAATAAATGTTTCCCTTTGCTCATAACACATTTGAGTTTACCACTCAAATTCAGCAACCTTTGAGAGACAAAATCTAATGGCTAAGCTGAAAATTCATTTAATATAGCAACCTCTCCAGAGATACATCATTGATAAGAACAAGAATAAAGAGAATTTACAGTGCAGATCAGAAGATTCTGCTCCACTCTGACTCAAAATGGTATCCTTTGAGTCTTTGAGAATTACCTATTTTCAGACTGTCATTCAGAATTTGTAGAGGATGAAACCCTCTCGATCTTCACTCTTATCTGTTCATTGGTGCATCTCTTCAAATATAAACAAAAATTGAGCCTCCTGTGATGTAACACTGGACTTGAATGAAGTCTCAACATAAATCAGACCTCTTTATGTGTCACCAATCCCTGATGGAAATTGGAATTTTCATGATTTGATATTCCTCGTTAACATTCATAGTACTAATGCGCAGAGGAAGGAANNNGGGGGGGGGGGGGGGGGGGGGGGGGGTTGCTACTTGGAGAGGTAAAATTGTTATTGATCAGCTATTAAATTGGTGATGCTCTTGAAACTTTAGCTGGGACAGCTGAGAGTCGAAAACTAAATGAACTAATCTAAGTGAAAGCCATCTTTACAGTTTGACAGAACTTTGACATTTGTGAGGTTACAAATAAGAAAAAAGAGAACTTATACTACCACTCCAACATTTATTATTCAAGGTTGATACATGTGCTCACATGAAGAGTTAAGAAAAAGGAGAAAATATAGGGAAAATGAATAGAAAAAATTACAGATTATCGCACAAAATGAGCCAGCATTGGATGAACCTTGCAAAAAAAATATGACGCAGAGTAGAAAAAGAAAAAGAAAGTTAACAAATTTCGTCTACAATCTAAACGTAAAAAAGAATCAACTGATCAAAATATCCTAAACTGGCACCGAGACTGACCGATAAGCTACACGATTAGTGGAATGAGTCAGAATATAAATGCTGTGAAAGATTGTATGGATACAAAGTTAAAACTGGGCATTAATTAAAATACAATAAAAATAAATAGATTAAAATATTGTACACCAGATGTTAGACATCATGCCGATAGACACCTATTTTTGTTCATTTTAATAACTTTAAATTGCAGGGCCACAGGATTTTATGCCGTTGTGTAAGGGTAGGGGGGGTAGAAAATACTGCATTCACCGGTGAAGAGCAGATGCTGTTGGAAGCTGGACACAGGTGCGCATGATGTTCCCTGATTAAGAAAGTTGCCCACAATCTTGAACAGTGATAACCTTGGATGTTTTGCCGCTTTGAGATCCATAGCTTTCCAATTTCCTGACAACATCCATACCTTCGATGACTTGACCGAAAACAACGTGCCTGTTGTCCAACCAGGAGGTTTTCACGGTTGTGATAAAGAATTGACTTCCATTGGTGTTGGGGCCAGCATTAGCCATGGAAAGGATACCTGTAAAAAAAAATAAAAAATCTTTGTCAAAATAGTCTCACTCAACTTAACTCAAGTAAACTTTATCACATCTCGTCTTCAGATAATTTCAAAGAAGAGTTGTCTCAACTTCAATTTAACATGCTAGCGAAATTGGATGATTTGCATGAGATTATAACAGAATCTGAATCGATTCAAAAGGTTTTTGCCTCTTTCAAGAATTCACAAATGTCCGATTACAATGCACTATCTGGTGCCTATTGTGGCTCAATAAACTAGTTCTCACCTTAGATTTTTGAAAGGTCTCCTTCAGATTAAACAGAGAGATTACTCTTGTTTTTCAAAGTAGAACAAATTGGAACATTTTCATACATAATGTGGAGCATGTGAACTTACATTACAATGGCACAGAATTTACACCTAGCGTCTGATGAAATTTGACACACAAGAGTTTCCTAATAATTTCTTGGGACAAGAGTCAAGTAAGATTCCGTCACCACTCATCAATAGTGCCATATGATAGCATGTATCAACCTCTGAAGTAGTGCTAATTTGAAGCTAAGAAGAGTCGGGCATTTATCTCTATCAACAATGGGCAAACTCTAAACAGAAAAAATCCTTGTTTTTTCAGTACTTCTGCAAAAATACACCGAAATCCTGACATTATTGATGTGCTTAACTATATTTTATTGAATGATGCAATACTCAGATTGCCCATATTCTTTACATTTTTTGTTGCCTACATCCTGCTGAATTTTCAAGAGAATTTTTTGTAAGTATTGCAGGAGATATTTTCTAGAAATCATAATACAAATGGAAATGCAAATCAGCCCAAATTGAGGGTTATTCTACCACTAACAATACGCAATTAATAAAGAAGCTCCTTAAAATTCGCCAGAGTTCATCATGGTTCAGTTGGTCACTGCATGGTCTTTACTCATCAAGCAACAATCTATTAATCTCAGTAAATGATACATACCTGGTCCAGTGTGCTTGAGGGTGAAGTTCTCATCTTCGAATTTGTTTCCGTAGATAGATTTGCCACCAGTGCCGTTGTGGTTTGTGAAGTCACCACCCTGGCACATGAAGTTGGGGATGACACGGTGGAAGGTGCTGCCCTTGTAACCAAAACCTTGTTCACCGGTGCAGAGGGCACGGAAGTTTTCAGCTGTTTTTGGGACTACATCATTGCGGAGCTGTAATCAGAAAAAGATGCTATTAAACTTCAGGCTTTCTCCTAAAATTTTGGTTTAAAAAAGTGGTGATTTCAAATGTTTGAAAACACTCATATTATAGGACCGCAAAGAGACAGATCTCTAGCTGTAAGATTTGATGTACCTAGAACTGGGGAAAGAAAAGATGAGACAGAAGTCACATCCGAAAATTGAACCATTCAACAGAATTTTACATGCTAACCAGAGGGCCAACTGACATTTGATGCATTCAGGTTGATTTGACTTAAGTCTGTTCTTTTTTTTCCTCAGTTCTAGAATCCAAATGATTCCACTCAGAGGTGTGGCAAAGACAAAATGGTGAGAAATTTTTCTATGGGAAAGCACAGGCAAGTTCACGTACTGATTGCAAAGTTGGTGAGATGGAGAGGGGCTTCTGCCTTGAGCCATATCCATGATGTGCATACTTCCCATCTAACATTTACCCAGTTCTATGATTGACTAGATACTTCAGCTCAGTGAGAAAATCTGAACTCGCACTCTCTTACTACAATCGGTCATATCTACAGGGTAGATGACCCCTATTCTTTGGAGACAATTGGAAATTAAGCTCACTAAAAATAGCCCTTGCTTCCCAAATAAATGTTAAATACGGTGGGCAATATCTTCATGACCAAGAACAAAGGAGGCAGTGGACGCAGTGTCTTACACGCACCGTTCATGGGAGACGCATTCAGTAAACTGATCAATGAAATTGGAATACCAAGAGCAGTACAGCATCCCACAGAGAAATTTCCCTAATTGAACAGAGGGAAACATGGGGCTAGTCCGATGTACAACACAGGCCAATGAAATGAGGGGCAGCAGTTGAAAAATGATCACATGCTACATAGAGGAATTTACAACACATCAGCAGCAGAAAGCCAAGCATTCAAAATGAAAAAAACCGTAGTTGTATTAGGCAAGCCAATTCGGCGACCTGTTGCAGCAAAGCATGTATGTAAAGAAACCGGGGTGGAGATAAGATTGGAGAAAGCTACAAGAGCCTATAGTCAATAAGCTATCTCAGTTAGGTTAACCATGGATTGAATCCTGATGAGGCATAGGGAAATGAAGGATAATAACACTTCTCTTAGATTCATAGAGGGAAACAATAAAGGATAATAGGAGATATGGCCGAAGAGAGAAAATGGGAAGAAAGTATACATCTTCCGCGTGACCCGGTGCGGTAAAAGCCTTTTTCGGCATATCATGGTGAGGAAGGTCACCACAAAACACGTAGACCGAATGCAACTGATAACCATTGGAGCTGGATTAAAAAAGATCTTGGGAATGGAAAGCTCGGCTGGGGTGAGAAATAGACCAAAACCTAAGAGGATTGCATGCGAATGTCGGGAAATTTTCTAGAATGACTTCATGACATAGGAACGCCGGCCATAGCGCCGATGTTCAAGGCCTTGGGAGGTTAGAGGCTTGGGGAATCGCAAGTGGTTTTCGAGAAAAGTTGAACACTTACCTCCATAACAATCCTGCCCACAGGGACATTGTCGGCGGTCATGTCGAAATACACTTTGGAACGTCCGGCCATATTTGCTTTTTTGGCTAAATTCGCTGAAGAAGTGACAAAATTGACAAACGGCGTGCTCCGGCTCGCTGAGAACTTCAACGGATGTGTGAGAGTGTGAGTGAGCAACGATGATGATTGGCGGCACACGAAGCCAAGAACCATTTTGATTGGTCGGGGTTTCCAAGCGGCAGAATACAGGTAACGGAACTACTTTTTGGGGGCAACGAAAAAATGCTATATTCGGGCAATTATTCTCGGACCAAGCCCTTCTTGCGGAGAAAGAACGATCGGCAAATTGACTTGGCTAGAACCGTTTTAGACGGGCAGGTGATCGAGGGAAGCTGAAGGGGCCGCAAAATTGGGAAGGCACTTTCACGTGTTGGGGAAGCGATCTGTGACACGTTTTTTCGGAAAACTTCCGACCGGCGAATCTGAGCGTGACCGGTCGTCCCTCGGGCGCGTGAAAGTAGTTCGTCTACAATGGGAAAAGGGTTTTCCACGCAAGAAACCGAGGTCTCAGATCGGTTAACTCGAAGAAAATTTGTCGTATAGGAATAATCAGATAAACTTCCCACGTTAAAATACCAGCAGCGATGGTTTTATTCAGTGCGAAAGTCAAGGCAAGCAGAGAAAGGGGAGGGGGAAACTGAACACGGCAACGCGCAAGGCCAAAATCAGGTTGAATGGCGCTAAATTCAAAAAAACGCATCGGCAAATTAATGTTGACCCGCTTCCCACACCTGGACTTGCATAACGAAATGCTCATACTTCGATTAGGCGAGATGACATAAGAGCTGATCAGATCGGCTTCAATGCATCGCCAAGCCAGGTCACCATATCGGTATGATGAGCTAGAGTGAGATTGATTACTGTTCTTGAGGCTTCAACCTTCTTGAACCCGGACCCAATGGGCCC